TTTTTCGATATTAGAGTCTACTATTAGGTTATTATAGGTGTAGAATTCGGAAATTATGTTAGTTTTAAGATCGATTAATCGAATTTCGATTTATTACAATATTCGTGATATTGGTTATGTATATTCTTAGATTATTAAATACGTTTTGATATCTATGAAAAAAACAAAAACAATATATAAAAGTTGATGAGAAGAAGAGGGAGGGGGGAGAGGAGGGGTGATGACGTTGTTGTTAATTTTATGATATATTATCGTAAAATTATTAGAATATATGTATATATTTCATTGTTATAATTTATATTCCTTTTGTAATAATATATATATGCTTTATTCGTTACAATTTATATTTATATTCATTTTGTAATAATATAAGTGTATATTTCATTGTTATAATTTATATTCGTTTGCAATAATAAATATTTTAGTCGTTACACTTTATATTTACTTGAGGTAGGCAAGATGGGGCCAGTTGAGACATGATATCGTAGAATGTCACAATATATGTCTATATTTTTGTCGTTGCACTTTATATTTACTTGAGGTAGACAAGATGAGACCAGTTGAGACAGGTCCGGACCTGTCGAACTTAAAAATGAAAAAATACAAATTAGGATTAGGATTAGGATTAAGGATTAGCATTAGAGATTAGGGATTAAGATTAGGGATTAAGATCAATCAAAATAAATTATATTGGTCACGTGGTGTACAGGTGGTTAAGGTAAGAATAGCCCAGGGTCCAAAGTCCAAAAGTGCCCTTCAAATCCTGGGACCAGAACCGCCATTTCTACCCTACTGGTACCAAATAGAAAATGGGCCTAGAAGTAGTATTGAATAAATAAAAAACCAAAATTTCAAATAATTGTCTCTAGACTCCTAGAAACAGTGTGCAAAATTATACATAAAAGCTGATAGGATATGTTGCAATAAACCCTAATTGAAGCATTAGCAGACAAAAGTAAATAAATCACCTAATAAGATTATTTACAGAAAATTGAAAGCTGAATAAGTAATTCTGACTTGAGTTCAAGATTGGACGTGCTGCTTTCATTTATGGATACCTGATAAGAACTATGTAATGAGGTATATCTCATTATAATATGTACATTACACCTGAGTCCATATTTCCCTTCATTGTGTTCTTTTATCTCCATACCTACCGTCTGATTAATATTTGTAAGAAACAAATACAGAGTGTGTTTATAACATAATAGATATTTTATATATTCAATAATATTCATTTATAAACAGCCCTCAAAACTCTAATTATGAAATCTTACTATTTTTACCATGTGCTGGTACAAAATAAAACAACTATTGCAAGCCACTTAAAAATAATGAAGATTATTCATGGTATAAATAATTAGACTGAAATTATTAGTCTCTTATGAACTATTTGGATGGATGTAAATTATTATAAAATAAATAAGATTAGAATTATAGGAAAATTTGTTAAGTTCTATAGATTAGTGAATTACATTCAAATTACTAAAGTTTTATTTTAATGACTTCTATCACAGAAATAAAAGTTCAGAGAATTTGTAAAGCAAATAATGAAGCTATCTGAATTGATAATAATTTTGCAGCAGTATTTAATAGAAAATAACAATTAAAAAAAAAATGAAACAGATTTAGTATATTGAGTTCTTACATAAGTGCTATAGCTCACTTTTGGATATTTCTCCTTAAATCTCAACTAGTACCAGTTTAGTTTTTTTCAGATATCTCCATCAGAAGGTAAAAACTTTTCGAATCGAGTTTCTTAGGTTCCATCTCGGCTTCTTCAAATCTACTGAATCAAAACTAATTGTTATTATTAACTTAGTAACATGGTAGATTGATGGTCAAATATTGTTCTTATATGATAATTCTCAAAATTGATTATATATTTTTTTAAATGGCCATATTTCTTTAATTTTTAATTAATGAACTATGGTGGATAAAAAAAAAATTTTTAAATCACAACAGTTCATTAGCATATCAATTATTGTAAACAAAAGAAGTATCTCAGTGAACTACCTGGATATTTAGACCTCTTATACTATCAAATTAAGGTTCAGAATATAATTACTTCTTGAAAAAAAAAAAAAAAGCTGGGTATAAATGTTCAAGTGTACCAATATAACAACAAAAACTCGAAATCACACTTTTGTAAAAAATAATTAATTTCATTTTTCAAAGCTGTAGATAACTTTTTAAAGTATTAATTCCATTTAAAGTTATACTACATTAAATTTAAAAGAAAATAATTTTTGCAGTTCAATGTCAATGAAACTAAACATATATTCCATAGAGGTTCACTATGAGTATGAAGTAGTTCTAAAAAAAATTGTTGAAACAATTCTTACATGTAAGAATTTTGATAATGGAAAGAAATCAATAGAATTAATTATAGTATTGATCAAATATAAAATGAAAAAAAAAAAACAATGTTTTAAGTACTTGGTCCAGAGAGGAATAAGCAATACTAATTCTCCTACACTTCTGAGATGTTTCTATTTCATTACACATTCAACGGTTCTGTTAAATGCCTTTTAGTGGAATTGAAATTTGTAGGTATTATTTTGAAATATTATTAAGGCCTTTTGTATTGCTTAATTACTTTAAACAATATTAAATGCAGGAATAAAAGAGTATATATAAATTGAATCTTGTCTCGTAAAAATTATATTAAATTTTTTATGACACAAAATTCAATAATGTGGTGTCTCGGGGCCCCCACCTTGACTCATTGTACTGGATTCCGGTAAAAATATTTGGATCTTATATTTGAAGTTTTATAACTTTATGAAAAGCTTTGAAGGTATTATATTATGAGTTTCAGAATTTTAAAAAAATCTTCAGACTTGCACAAAACAACCTCTTTAAATAATGGACAAGGTCGTCCATTCTCAACAGAAAACTTTTCAGTCTGCTTTATACCCGTGTAAAACATTATGTTCAATAAAAGCAAAGATGTTTATTCTTGAAAATGAATGATCTCCGATAAGTTGGAAAATGATACGTAAATAAATAGTTTTTTTTTTAATTCCTAAAACTCATTAAATAATTAAAAGTCTTATAGATTGTCAAAAAAATTAAATAGAGAGAAATCGTTCTCGAGAGTAGACAAATTCTAATACCTCGAATCGACAGTAACCTCTAAGAATGACCAACTGTCGGTCGGAAATAGATTTAATGTTTAACAATTGCAAAGAAGGCTGGTTATGTTGGCAAAAGATCAACAATGTCAATAATTCCAACATAAAATATATATATATATATATATATATATATATATATATATATATATATATATATATATATATATATATATATATATATATTTGGGGGACCATTACCCGGTCGAGGAATGTGGGGCCATTGAAGTGTCACCAGATTGGTCGAAAGTAAGGAGGAGGTGATAGGCATTAAGGGCCAATAATGGACTGCTGACGAGGACGACTGAATTGGAGCAAAGTGATTCCAGAGAGGTTCATACAATATGTATCCAGGAGTCTACAAATGTCTCGCACAATTTCACCTTTTTGCACCCTCTAGGAGTCAAAGGGCCTGTTACTACCTTTCTAGTTCACCACTTATCTTTTTCATGTTATCCAATGAGGACATTGTCTTTTGAATTAAGATTGAATTACTGATACTATCAATTAATTGACTTTTTTCAGCTTTTGATTAATATAAATTTTGTTACTTTTTGAAGTTTGGTGGTTTGTAAAACTACTGTCACTGTAATCCATTGCAAAACCAATATTGAAATTTATTTAATATGTCATGAAAATATAGATTTAATATAATCTAGAAAGCTCAATGAACGAAAAAAATTACCTTATTCAATTTTTGTGATTTATTAACATAATTGAAATAGGGATGGTCGATTCTAAAGGTTCTTTATTGAAAATAATAAAACGTAATTGTGTACTAATTGCAATACGACCATTGTATTTACTTTTTGTTAATGATGAACCTGCTATCATGTCTTGTTTTTTCGTTTTGTAGAGAATAAGATCACCGTTCAAATAAATAAGCACATCACGCATCATATATTCGAACATTAAGTTCTCCCAACTTTAATAAAGTTTATTTAAAAAAATGCCTGATTTCTTCGCTAACTATCTTCTTCTTATATCAATAACCATATTTCAAATTCAAAAGGTTTTAGAAATATATATTTGATATGTACATGGTTAACATTTGTTCGGCCGTGAAGAATCTAATCAATTAAACATTTTCGTCAAAACTTAAGCTAGACAGTATGTCAAACTTATATGACTGTAATTAACCATAAAACAAAGATGAATGATTAAATTTAATTTGCCAGGTATCGATTTACATTCGGAGATTGAGGAGACTAGTTGGAGGTAATGTAAGTGGTTAAAACCCAAGGTCTATAAAACTACCTATAAACTAGGTAATTTTATAGACCTTGATTAAAACGCTGCGTGCGTTCCACACAGAGTTACTAAAAGAATCGACTTAATTTTTAGAAATCGACTTAAATTTACTCATAACACATCTATTAGAGTTTAGAGGCATTGAAATGAGCTATTTTTAATGATGTTAGAGCGGGTTGTCTGTTATCAAACGCCCTCGTATTTTTAGAAGCCTAAGTGAACGATATACACAATGCTGTAATACTCCACAGATTTTATTTCAAAGATGCTCAAGCATTTCCTGGAGTGGTCATTTCTTCTGATCTCCGCACGGAATTAGGGGTTGTGCAGAGCAAGTCCTTAAAAGATCAAAAGACCTTTACCGGGTTCCGTTTACCCGTGCATTGGGCATAACATCTTACTGAAGCATGAAAATAAACCATATAGATGTCTGAGATTAGTTGTGCACTTCTAGGATATTCATATCATATTCCTGTACAGCCGTTGAAAAGTCTATATTTAAATCCGATAAAGCTTATTTGAGTATGGTTTATAAAGCTTATAAGCTCTAAGTGTAAAAGCAGAATTCCACTCCTGGAATACTTGGAACAGAAAAAATTGGAAACAGTAGCTATAGAAAAGGGACTGTATAAAATGGGTTAATCAACTCATTGAGAGCCACTGATTGTCACAAATCACGACACAGACAATAGCTACGCTATTGAGCTAATTTTAATAGAAATTGTAGTGTTCATTAGGTTTGTTAGTTTTGAAACTTTTTTTTTACAACTTTTAAATTATTTAGATATTAACAATTTTTTTCATAAATAAATGTATGTTTTACTAATTTGATTTATTTTCTAAAATCTGAAAGTAAATTATTGAACTATAATTGCTTCAACATACAAATTTCGAGGCGAATTGTCAATTTTGTAATATGTGGATAGTTACATAGGCTTTAAGCAGAAGGCTTTCGGAAAGTTTAATCAAAATCATTGGAACCGTTTTGTAATTACAGTAGAGGGAAAAAATACGTTTTAGCACATTGTTCAGATTTCAAAACCCTTCAAAATAAAAGAATAACCAAATGAATCAGTATCAGTAGAACAAGAAAAGTGCTCGCCTAATAATATGTACAAAATTGACGCATTACCTTTTTGCGTCCTATGCGTGGTTCCAAGTCCTAGGTCCGAGTTCGGCTGTGGCAAGTAATTCTTTACTCTGCTACAACAGCTGTGGATTGGACCTGGGACCTAGTAATCTTTCTGAAGCAAACCCATGTTCTATATAAGTATCTATACAAGTAGTGAACTCATAATTAATGAAGGGAAAAAACCTGGCAGTTGTTCGTAGTCTCGGCCCAATCGCCTTCTTGCACAACGATAGGCCTTGGAAAAGTAATAAGGCTTAATGGGTTGTAGACGTAGTTTTTTTTTTCGTGAACGATGACAGTAATGTATACTAAGTAAAAAATAAAATTTTTGGGTAGGTTGTATTCTTTGTGATTATAAAAAATACTTCTTTGTTGACAAAAGACTTGACAATTTGATGTAATGAAATATCGATCTTCCAAAGATATAGTGAAAAACAATTCATGATCAACTGAATTAAAATATGTTTATTTTACTATCACTTTGTCTATGAAAATTCTTCTTACATTTATAAAATCAATTGGAATATACTTTTGGTCTCTAGTAGCTGCTTAATATTTTAAGAGTAAACAAAGGCCACAATACTTTTATCTCATATAGATGATTTGAAATCCTCCACCTGAAAGATTTCCTAACTTTAGTCAAGTATTTTTATTAAAGTGATGTAGTTGTACCTGTTTTGATAAATTAATTATTTTCGAGGAGCACATTATAATGTGTTCTGATAAATACCAACAATAATAGATCAAATTTATTAACAACCAATATTAAACCCTTCACAAACATACACAGTAATTCTTTATCACACTGCAAAGAAATTAACTATTTATAATTTCGAAAATTTAATTTTTGCCTGATCTGACAAACCAATCCTACAGGGAACCAACTTATTCTGACTAGAGTAAATAGAGATTCATTCTGTGGGTCCACCATGATATAAATTTCAACCCATTCAGCTGGATTTGAATTGCACTAGACTGGAGGTTGATGAGATTATGATGCCCCCTCTCTTCAATTACAGCCTCAATTTAGGAATCTATAACATTTTCAAGGAAGACAGAGTAGACAACCCAGAGATCTTTTCAAATTAGTCAGGCATTGTTCAAAGTTATCCTCCAATGGTGATTTCCTCACCAGACATGTGGATGATTTACATGACCATATTTTTGTGGTTTTGAAAGCATTTGGTTCACCAGACAAATATATATGTATTTGGTTTTATTAGATACAAATAGATAATATTCTGTGCCAGAGGAAGAGTTAAAATCTAGAATGTATTAAAAAAAGAACATTTCATATCTTATTTAAACTGAATAATTTATGATGCAATCCGGAAAATCTCTACAAAAATGCAAGAACAGTGATAGATCAATGGAATACGAGAATGATAATTGAAAAAGCTCCTGTAGACATAGACAATATTGTCATTAGAGCAGATTCAGCACAAGCATTACAGCAAAAAATTTAAATGTGAGGCTGAGTTTGAATGAAAAGAAATAGTTATAAATGAAGACAAATGTAAAGTTATTCAGAGGTCAAGAAATTAAAGAAGTGTAGATAAACTGTAAGGGTAAGTACTAGAAAAAAAAATCTGCAAAAGTATGCCAAAAAAATATAAATGTTAATCATGCGTAATCACAACACTGAGAAGAAATAGTTTAATACTGTTTCCATTGCCCAACTGAAGGTGATAAGAGGTATCAAAAGGCTTCAAACAATGCGTAGTCAGATGAAACTTGAGGCAGGACAATCTGAGTGTCAAAGAAACAGCCACAAGCTAGTGGTATTAACCTTTTGACCCAGTAGATATAAGTTCTAAGGATCGAATTAAGTTGAGAATGAGCTGACAAAGATCCTGAGATTTAAACAAATGTGTATAGATTTTTATATTTTGTGGATTTGTTACCCAGTAAAACTGGCCACTTTGAACATTTATTCAATTAGTCTTTACTCATTACAAATATCGAGACATTAGAAGCCTTTATGTTTATATAAACATTTTGTTAAATTTCGAGAATCTGTTTTTATTTAAAATTTATCTTTTGAACTTCATAAATTTTTCCAAAGAAGCATATGTATTGTTTTCTTTATTCAATAAAATTATCACTTTATTTCAAATATTAACTGCTTGTTTTTGTAAAAGAAAACAATTTCATATGAATTGTAACATTGCCTAACTAAATTTCTGACTAAAAAAGTTGGATAAATAACGTGATGACTTTCGCCACTTCCAAACGAATGGCAAACTTGCATAGGGCAAATTTATGTTTTCAAGACTTTTTGAGTTTTAAATATGCTATTACTTATGAGAAGGAGGTCATTAGCAAAAAAATAAAGCAGTTTCTATTAACCTTATGTAAAGTTGTGAGAATTGAGTTTGGCAGTGCTAGAATTTATACAAAGAAATGTTGAATGTAAGTTATATTTTTAAAATGTCCAGTTTCCATATAACTTCCAAGTAAATTAGTTATAGAATTATTTTGTTTTGAAACTGAGCTTATTCCGAGGCTGAAGAACAGGAACAGCTTTATCTAGAACCATACATCTGATCCAGCATCTGGTACCAAGGAGAATAAAAAACAATACTGAGTACAATGGTTCATTTTTTATTGTGTTTTCCTTTCACAAAAACTGTTAAATTACACACAGTGTTCATTAAAAAAAAAAAAAAACTGTTACACATATTTTCTTCTTGGGAGTGCATTTGTCACATATTTTTTTTTTTTTTTAAAGTTAATCAAAACTGCACATCTATCTGGGATATTAATGATATAATTTTACAATATGTAACAAATATACATCTGATTTAAACAAAAAGAAAAACAAATTGAATAATACTAAATATTCTTGCTAATTTCTTCAAGTAAAAACTGACTAAAAATTCAGTTGCACTAAAAGGTCATTTAAAATTATTTACACTGACATGCTACATTTTAATTTTAGTTAACAATTGTTTCATTACAAATTTTATATCACAAGTACTAACTACTGCAACAGAGGAAAGAAAAGTATTTTCAACAAGAAATATTCAATTATCGATTAAAATAAATTGCATATCCCATTTTTAATTTATTTTTAATGCTACATCTAAAAAGAGCAAGGAGAACTAATTACAAGATTGGTAATATTTCATACTTTAATATTTAATCCTATAAAAGTACACAAAAAAAAAGTGATAACATTTCTTATTTTTAAAAAATACAACATAAATAAAAGGTTTAAAGATACCAAAACTTAGGGGTGGAGGTTACAACTTAATAATTTATTCACATGAAAGGTTTTATAAGTATTTTAAAAAATTGGTCCAAATTTTAAAAGATTCATTGCAATTTTAAAACAATTTTCCTGAGCTCCACTGATTGTCATTTACAATACAAAAATTGGGGAAATTATAATTTTATAATTATATCAGGGACCCAATCCGTTGGTTATCTCATAATTTACTAATTCTAATATTTTTTTATTGAACAACTAATTTTTAATATCATTTAACTTTTATTTAAAAATTGTTTTTTTAATTTTAACAAATTCAACTTAATCTTATTAGCATAACACTGTTTAAAAACATATATAATTTGAGTTCAGTTTTAATAGACTAACTGACTGAGTAACTAGGTTTTCATTGCCTCTCATCGATATATTAACTAAGTTTAAAAGAAATAAAAGCTTAAAATTTTAAAGTATTTCAAGTATGCATTATCTTTGAAGATTCACAGCTTGCTTGGCTAGACTTCTATTTTTAATAACAATCCTATAAACATATTTATCATGCAATTTTGAATTCAGTAGTATTTCCGTTTCATCTCTCTCTTCTTAGGTCTAACAAGGATCGTGGAAAAAATCCTGTTTTCAGTGAAGCTATAAATTAGCCATAAAAAATTATAATATGAAATATTTAATTAATCACTGATTAGTTTGAAATTATTTAAAGCTTATTAATTTGTTTTGTTTTTTAATTTTTCTCCATAAGATAACATTTATATACGCAATAAAAATTAATATTGTTATGAAAGCGTTTTAAAATATTTTTATATTAATTTAAAAAAAAATCTTAGTTCACGAAAATAAATAATAAAAAATTGTTTTTATATGAAGAATAAAAGTAGTTTGTTTCGGTCCCTGGTATCTTATGTTCACTCAGTATTAATTAATTATTTATATTTGATAATCAGTAATTCATGTATATTTTAACCTTAGTAACTCAAGTTAAATGTTATATTAAGAATAATTGAAGTGTATATGGTCCCTTGAATAGAATTAAATAAAAATAAAATTGTAAGCAACTAGTCTCCTTGCTATTTTTATTAAGTAGGTATATAAGTTGATCATCCATTACTGATTTTAAAACTGCTACTGATTGGAAGAAAATATATCATTTCAATTTCACTATAAATTTATAGCTGAATCTACAAAAATACCAAAAAGAAAATATATAGAAAAAAAGAAAGAAACATAATAACAAGATTTAAGATGAAACCTAAGTATACCTCAAGGCACAGGTTCGTGGATAAATGATATGCCGACTAGCTGACATATTATTTTTACCATCACAACATTCAAGTGACACTCAGTTCAGATATAATAATCAATCTATAACAGTCAAACTACTTTAATAATTTATAAGTATCATTAGAGACTATAACATCCATTTAGCATGTCTAATAAAACAATGCCAAAATATTTTCTTATTTATAACTATTTACAACAATGTCCCTAAACTATACACAATAAGAATCCTCTAACAGCTCTAATGCCGTTATGCAAGTTATAAACATACAAACCCTGCATTTTCTTTTCAATACGTCAACATCACACCATAACTCAAAACAAGTTTATTTTTCCATCTCGTCTTGCATAAAACTAAGAGCATCTATAACCATTCAACTTTTTAGTTGCTGGACTAGATATGTTTTTTTGTTTTGTTTTTTACCATTAAAGTAATATAAAAGTGTGGGACTTAAAATTTCACATATGTTCAATATTAACTCTGCACTATATCATACAATCAAATTTTTTTTTAATAGAAAATTACTCTCTCAAAGTAAACAGTGATCTATTTTACATTTTAAGTTCTACAGAAGCTTTTTGCTCAACTTGCCTTCATGTCATAGGAATTGCACCTATCATAACCACAAGTTTTTTCCTATTAAAGAGCTATTTAAACTAAAATACAAAGATAATAAAATAAAAAATTTATGATAAAAAAATAACATCAAGATCTGCAGATATAAAAGTCTTCGACTTATGTCAGTAAAAGTTCACACTAAACACTATACTTAACATTTATATTCATTTTTTTTCTGTTTACTTTTTTTTTCTTTTTTTAAGAGTATTCCAGAATTTTATTAAACATTACATGATTTAAATTTAGCTCTAAAGGGGTTATAAATTCTTCTCTGAGTGGTTTTGAAAATAGATGTTTGCTGTGAGCATACGTGTGAATGAGAACAAAGTACTTTTTATACATATCACACATTTGACTGAATGAAAGAAACCTGGCACTATGGTTTTAATCTCTTGAACCCAACACCATCCTGGCCGAGCTTCAGTTCCTCATAGATTGATGGAGCGACTTCAGTCGATGATGGTACATGGAGTTGTTCATGTTTCCATCCAGAGTGGTTCATGCCACTACTTGTGTTGGCATCTCCAGACTAATATAAAAAAAAAAAAAATTAATATTAATGAAGTCATAATTTATGATGATGACATTTACTGATTCATGGACAAATTTCTGATCTTCACTGATTCTGACAAAATTTATTTTCTAGGAGATGTAATGTAATAATGAAAGGCACCAGACAAATACACCAAGTTTAAACATTGGTCAATTTTCCAAAAAATCGCTTCACGGATGTCGCACTTAACGGAAACCAGAGCTGGTACCAAGACCAGATAAAATAATAATTATCCAAACTTTATAAAAACAACTATAAACTACTAACTCTCAACAGACTAGCCTTGGATTTTGGATGGGTTTATGTAAACCACCTGGAACTCGTATTATGGCTTATAAAATTGGAATATGGAATGTTAAATATGTGATTTATAAAGATCACTTTATAAACCTGGAGCGTTCACAAAACTGAAAACTCAACTGCTATTAAGGAAACATGTTAGACCGGTTCTGTGTAGCAAAGTGGAAAGGATTTCGATATCTTAGATAATGAAAGCCAAGATAGACATGAGTTTGGTACAGCCTTCATAGTGCCAAAGAGAATGAGGGGAGCAGTTCTTGATGTCCAACCAATAAACAAAAGGTTATGGAAATTAAGGATTATGGGGAAATAGTTTAATATTACTCTGAAAAAAGTGCATGCCCCAACAAAGAAAAAAGAGGATGAAAAGGACCTTTCCTAAGAAAATTTAGAACCCACCATTGCTGCTAGCCCTTCTTCTGATATAAAAATAGTGTTAGGTAATCTTAATGCACATATTGATAAAGAACCAGTATTGGGTCCTACAATAGGCAAGCCTAGTCTAAACATGAAGATTAATGATAAAGAGGAATGAAGGCATGGTTTTGCTACATAGAGATCATTAGAAGCGATGAGTACTGTATTCGCTCACAAAGAAATACACAAACATGGATTTCACCAAATGGAGTCGCAACGCAAATAGATCATGTTTTGGTTTCAAGTAGATATTTTAATGTAGTTAATGATGTGAGATCTTTTTAGAGACCAGACATCAATTCAGAAAACTTTCTGGTAGTTGCAAAGATCAACCATGCAAATAAGTTAAGGATTTTTTAAACAAGCAAACTAAAGAACACCTAGGAAAGAGAAAAGTTAAAGAAAGAGGAAATAACGTATGAGTTCCTGTGAGACATTAAAAGAGGTATAGGAAACACCCCAGCTGCAATCAGAGGAAGAGACGTGAATGAGGAATGAATCACTCAAGACATATGATACCTGATTCAGCAGAATAACATTGTAAGAGGGATGAAAACAGAAAGAAAAAAAATAATGTGTGGTTTTACTGGGAGTGTGAAGAAGCAATTAATGTGCGGAATGAAAGGAAGAAAAACTTTTAAATAGGGATACCAGACAGAACAGAAAGAGTACCATGATGCCAGATCTAGTGCTGAGGGAAAAGAAAATGGCTGGGAAACATAATTAGGATGGAGGATAGTATGGAGCAACCAGGCAATTATATTATGGAACCCCAGATGGAGTTAGACAGTGCAGAAGATCGAAAGGAAGGTGGCTGAGGACCTGAAGACGGTCAAATTGTCCAGTAGACTTGCAATTGACCGAAATGAACAGGAAAAGGCAGTTGAGAGGGCCAAAGACAGCTTCAGGCACCCCTCAAACCGATAAATAAAAAAAATTCAAGTAAATTCCCTTACAATAAATAAGATTTCTATAGTTGGCTTTTTATTAATTAAATTTATTTTTTTTAAGTATTGACAATTTATATTCAGCGCCTATGTTTGAGATCTTAAACATGATATGACATGAAAACAACAAAAATTTTAGAGTACTTTTAAGCCCAAATAATGTGTAATAACTGTTAGATAATTTTAAAAAAAAATGAGTAATAAAAATATTTCCTGAGACGTTTTCAGGAATGCAATTAGACAGTGAAAGATAAAGAAATAGAGATTTATAGAAAACTGAAAATAAATATTACCAAGAGCTACAATTCAAACAATAACTTGAAACAATAAGACAAAGAAATTGCTAAATAAAATTAAAACGGCTTCCTCGATGAATTTGATAATAATGATTAACATGTAGGCCAAAATAAGCGGGATACAACTAAAGTCGATTTTGAATTGAATCACTTTTCAAGGAATGGAACTTCACACAAGTAGGACCCAAATAACCAAGAAACACCAATGGAGGAAAAACTGACTGTTTTGTTCCATTAAGATAGGATGATGAATAAACATAAAAAAGGATGAACTGAGGAGCTCAAGATTTGATGTTTAAAAATTTAAACTACTATAATATATTCTCCATAATTAGAATTATCAAATTTTTCTCAAACACTAGCCTTTCATTTTAATAATATATCTTTATTTATTACTAGAATGAAAAGAAAAATGCTAATTATTCCTAGATCAATGATTTGTTTAAAATTATAAATTCATCATCAACTTTATTTAACCTTTGTTTTACGATCATTTTTGATACCTGGATATGGTCCATGTTGACTTCTCTTAAGTAGCTAGGATTTTCGAATGCGACACCACCAGTTGATTTATGACCAAGTAAGCTTCTAGTCCTTACAAACCATACTGCTCCAGCAACAACTCCAACAAGGAATACAATCATAAATACTAATCCAGCAGCCATTCCAAATTGCGAATGCTCCTCACCTAATAAAAGAATGCACATCAGTTAAACACAATTTTTTTTTTCATAAAAGAGGAAATAAGAAAAACAATAATATTAAAATCATTTACTACTGTTTATAAACTACTATATCAATTAAAATTTATGTAAGCATAACAATGAAATTCTTGTTATACAAAATATGAATAACTTATATATATTTGGCCTTTCAGTAAATCAGGATGTATGCTAAAGACTATCTTTATATAATGAAATAAGAGGTAATAAAAATCACTGTCAATGCAAATGCATTTTTAATTATAATTATTTTTTTACTAAAGGTAGCCAACATTATACCTAGTTAACTTCTAGGTATATTAGTAACTCTAAAGTAACATAAAAGTTAAGTACTAACCAACACTTGCTGCAGATGTGATGTACTTTTCATCTGTTGAAAATCTTAATGGTTCTGTTAGGGTACTGGTCCCTCTGATATTACCAGCTTTCACGACACATTCATAAATAACACCTGACTTGAGACTGGAAATTTTTAAACTTGTTGTTTTGCTATCATTCTTGTAAGCTGGACTCTTTGAATTAGCAGGTCTCCAAAAGACTCTAAAATTTTATATTCATATTAAAACATATATAACTTAATGTAAATAAATGAGAATAATAGAATATTTAATCACCTGTACATTTCCACTGTATGTGGATTTTTCAAAGGAGGATCCCATCTGATCAAAACTGAATGGTCGTCTATTCTTTCAACTCGAACGTTTTGAGGAGGACCAGGCAAGCGATCTGAAGAACAAAAAATAATTGTAAAAAAAAAAATAGTTATAGCAGCAACCAAAATCCTTACAAAAGATTTCTAACATGCATATTTACAGCTTAGATTTAGAAATTACCTCGCCCTTCTCTGAAACAGGACATGATGCGTTTTGTGTATTGAAGCAAACATAGTTTGTTATCTTCTGCAACTAAGGGCTCTCCTCGGCACCAATCAAGGCAGCTTCTTTCAACATTATTTTGAGCACAGCAAGCACGGTGATCAGAACCATCTAAAAATTAAATCATTTTTGGAATAATTAATGCATGTAACTTATTTTTGATGTTTGGTTTAGCGGTTGAACAATTAACCTGTCAAATTTTTGCCAATTAAGGCATCATCAGGAAAGAAAAAATGTATACAGACCAAATACTAGTTATTATGCTCACTAATGTAATCATACTATTATATAAATGCACAGATTTTTTTCAGTTAGCCATTTAACCATTAGTTTACCGTGAAAAATTACAAAACCAATCTTCACCAAATTTTAACTACATCTTCTTCATGCTCCTCTGAAGGTTTAGCAATAATAAGACCAAACAATCTGAAAATTGCAGGTAATCATACTAGCATAGCAGCCTATATATGTATTTTGCAGACACTACAAATAAACCATAGGGAGAAACTTATAAGTATACTGAAGTAGACTTAAGAAAGCCTTTTTCATATGATCAACTATATGTTTCCTTATACTTATAGATATATACACTGACAAACAAAAAATTCCATCCACTTGATTTTTTCATGTTTTCATCTAAAAATATTTCTGTTTTGGATTGGTCTATTGTTTTCAATGAATAAATAGGTAATCTTTTTGTTTGTTTTCAATTAGGAATGTTAATGTAGAGGACAATAACCCTTAATCCTTAATTCAATTAAATGATTCTAGACTCCAATGTTTACTTTCTATGGAATCAAAATGTTTATTCAGTATCATTAGTTCAGTGCCGTTTCTTGCAGCACATTTCTTAGTCTCCGGCTTTTAATTTTTTCAATATTAAGTTTAAAAATGCCTCTTAGTGTTGAGGATGACGGACGTTCCATTAGATATGCAGCTAATGCCATCGGAGTTCCATATGAAACTTTACGATACGCCGTCAGGCGTTTTCGGGAAACTGGTTCTTACAATAGAAGGCCCGGTTCTGGACGGCCTACGGTAACAGAACCATGGGATGACCGGTTTTTGACTTTGAGAATTTTACGAAACCGGCACCTTACTGTTGTTTAAGTGATTCATCAGCTCGAAGAAGTTCAGCAGAAAGTGCAAATTTCTGAACGTACCACTCGGAGAAGATTAAATGAGTATGGATTAATGGCTTTTCGTCCAGTAAGAGGACCAGAGTTGACCAGAACTCACAGAGTAACACGGCTGGCTTTTGGTCGAGAAGACAGCCATTGGACTAAGGACGAATGGAGTGCTGTACTTTTTACAGATGAGTCAAGATTCACTCTTCGATCTCTAGACGGGCGTGAAAGGGTGTGGAGAAGCAGAAACGAAAGATATGCAGCCTGTAATTTTTCCCAGAGCCAACCTTTCCAACGTGGTTCCTTAATGGTGTGGGCTGGGATTTCAATGGAGCGCCGCACAGAATTGGTTGTTGTTCGTGGAGGAGTGGACGGCCATTCGCTATGTAGATGAGATTTTGGAACCTCATGTGTTGCCTATCCTCAAGGAAATCGGCGATCGTTCTATTCTAATGCACGATAATACACGCCCACATGCCGCCAGCATAGTGCAGACGTTCCTTCAACAGAAAAATATTGAGGTTTTAGCCTGGCCAGCACGTTCTCCAGATTTGAACCCCATTGAGCATTTATGGGATAACCTCGGAAGACGAATAAGAGCGTGTGCAACACCTCCTGATACACTGCAGGACCTTGAAATGGCTCTTCGGGAGGAATGGGCTATCCTCCAGCAAAGGAACATTTCCCGACTGGTGGAAAGTATGCCGAGGCGTCTTCAAGAAGTAGTGGAGGCAAGAGGAGGAAACACGTGCTACTAAACGATGATGTAACTAATTTCTTTTAGAATAATAATGGTTCGTTTTTTAATTTTTTTTTCTCTAATCTTTCTTACCCAATCATATTTTGATTATTAAAGGTAAAAAAGATTATAAAATTCCATAAATACTAAGTATTATCTACAAATACTATGTATTATATACAAATACAACTTTTTTTATAAGTGGCAGAAATATTTTTAGATGAAAACATGGAAAAATCAAGTGGGTGGAATTTTTTGCCTGTCAGTGTATGTTAAATATATACGATCCGGTTCTGGATAGAACAAGTATATACATTTATACCAAAGGACGAAAAATATCATTAACACTGAAAAACTTAATTTATTTTAATCGTTTAAAAGATATTAGGTTCATGAAAAAAATAGTTAATAAAAATCCATCAAACTAAAGAGATTCTATCTTGAAGAGAAGTTGATTGGGGTTTCCAGTCAAAGGAAGAATAAAATAAAAATAAATAAATTATATTTATTTTTTAACTAAAGATTCTATCATGTCAGTTTTATTTTAGTAATGGATTTTTTGGTTTTTACAAATTAATTTAGAATGATATTTCAGAAGAACTTGGTCATGAACTCACCAAACAGGCATGTATAATCCAAATTTAGCACAGCTATTAAATGATAATTTTAATTTGATTTTGATAATATGCTTCGTGGGTCATAGCTGTTTTAATTGTTAAAGATTAAACAGTGATGAGCAGAGAATTGAAATTTAGAATTAATAACTCTAATGAAATTTATAAAATAATAAGCTTTAGTGAAATACAAGGTTAAAGTATGATGAAAATATTAAATTAAAAAAAATATATATATATAATCAACAGAAGGAAAATACTAAATCTATTTTTACAAAACACTCACCTGATGCACATTTCATTAGCTTGTCGAAATCACTAATACACTGCGGCCTGTCAATGACAGCATCAATGTCCAAATAGAAAGAACAAGCATCCATACAAGCTGAAGTGACATTTTGTTCAATACAACACTGTGTGACATTGTTAACAGCAGGCTGTAAAATAAGAGGGATTTAGAATGATGAAGTAAAATTTTAATCTACAAAACCAATAGTAACTACAAGGGAAAATGTAAAAAATACTTGGTATAATTTTATAAAATTTTATAGATATTTTTGGCTATTGAGATAGCAGTAAGTGCGTAAAATCTGAAATCACTATTAAGAACTAGATAACTATATGAATTTCTGTCTTACTTCAGTTTTGAGCGAAGTAAAGAATTCATAAATTTTTAATTTTAAACACTTTAGATCAAAATTACCTTTATTAACTTAGATCTTTACAAGATTAAGAGAAAAATATAAAACTGAGTATACCTCTAAGTTATAATTTAAAAATACTCACAACATTACGAAGTCGAACAGACACAGGTTGTGTAGCATTACCAAAACCGTTTTCTGCATGACAGTAGTACTCCCCGCCATCGGAATCATCAATGTTTTTAATGACAAGATGCATTGTCCACTTATCCTCTTCCTGAAATTGAAGTGAGTCGGAAATAATATATTTCACAAATAAAGTGACACATAGATTAAGATTACTTTATTGCCAGATAATTGCAGATTTACAATTACTGTAAATACAATGATAGAATTCTTAAAAATTCTACAAACTTGATATGGTGTAACCAAACTTATATTATTATTATAATTGTATTAAAAAACTGATTATGGTGGAGCAACTAAATTATAAAATAATAATGATATATAACAAAAACCAAATAAAGAAAATTGGAATACATGTAGATAAATAAAAATTTAAACATTAAAGGAATCCATAACATTTTTTTTTTATTCTCTGGTTTATTTTAACTAATTTTGACTATGTTTTTGTTTTATTTAACATTTTCTTTCACTTATTAATGTAAATTATGATTGATTGCAGTCATTATTAATTATTTGAAATTAATTGTAAAGCTGCAAAAGACAGGAAAGCTACATATCAACAACTCTTTTTCACAATGACAAAGTTTTAAAAAATTGCTACATCAAACTTGGGGAGTAAATCAACCTTTAAATAATTGTATCAAATATTAAAAATTAATAACCCAAGTTACAATATTCATTGAAAGAAAATTAATTGCTTGTTTGGTTACAGCATCAATGGTAGTTGCTACAAATGTGTATGGTGATTAACAATATTCTTAACTCCTCACAATAAGTTTTCTGGACCATATTTGGTATTTTTCATTAATTTAAACATAAATAGAGAAGTGAAGCTTTAAATACTAAAATTATTAATTGATTCCGCTTAGGTGGGAAAAATTAGTTTCCTTTACTTTCTAGTAATTAAAATATAATTTTCGAAACGAATAAATAATAAATAGAATAGATATTTAAAAAATATATATATTCAATATAAATCTATCCATACCTCATTATTTTTAATTATGACAATCTCATGTTTGGGGTCTTGAATCACAGGTACTCTATTGGCAAAATCTTTCCAAAATACCATTTTTGGGTCAGGATGAGCTTCTACTAAACACTCGAGAGTTACTGTATCACCATGTGTGGCCATTTTGATTCCATTTGCTGTCAGATGTGGTTGATCTGTAATATTCACCAAATATGTAATTAAAGTAATATGTTTAAACATTTCAAGGTCTCTAGTAGGCCTAAAAAGGAAAATGACATACAACTGATAATGATCCTCCTCCTTGCTTCCATCGGAGTTCCATAACCATTGTCAGCATAGCATGAAATATGGTTCATGTCTCTAGTCACATTGTGAACAACTGTAACCATGTGCCTAGTGATCTCTTGGCGGACCAATCTACCTGATATGTAAAGAGATATAGTTGGCATAGGAGTGCCCATTGCAATACACAAAATAGTCATACTGCTGCCTTCAACCACAAGGTTAATAGGATGTACCGTCGGAGGCTGGAAAAATTAATCTTTATTTTAAAAAAATAAATAAAAATAAGAACAATTAATACTGAATTAAGTAAGTATTATTTTATTTCGTAACTTGAAGGCAGAAATTTGATTCATTTTATTAATTGTACGTGAATAAAACTCTTCCTTTTAGCCTTGAAGCTGGAACATAAAAATTGACCTCTTCGCAGGCGAAGGTTTGAATGTAAATTACAAAAGTGTATGTTATTCTATGTAAAATGAACCTTGTCTGCCATTTCAGAGCTGCTTCTATAAAAAATGGTGGCTGATTAAAACAATATTAGGCCAGTAACTTGAGGATCAAAACAGGAAATTTTTTACGAAAAATAAGAGAAATTTTTTTAAACTTATGTCTATGGGTTCTAATATGAAAAAACTAAAATTGCTAACTCAAGCAGCCAAGAGAAAAATTTTTATAGTTGAAAAAGCCACATTTTTTGTTTTTTCACCTACAACTTTTAAATGATGCATCTAAGGGAAAAACATACTCTTTCGCCTGCGATGAGGTCCATTGCTCCAGACCTATATATTACCACTTTATGTTAAACCAAGTGGTAATATATAGGTCTTAATATAACATTTTAAGAGTATCTACTACTCTATTGTTCCTATTTGGAAAGCAACTAGATTTTATAGATTCCTTGAGTAATATTTTTGCTTAAAAAATGTTTTGTAAAAATTATTATAACGATGGTCTTAAATGGGTTAAAATAACTTAGTTAAAAATAAATTGAAAAAGCAGTTTAAAGTTTTATTCATTTACAATTAATAATTGACACTTTAATGACCAAGTCATTTGAGTGAATCTTTATCCATAAACCAATTGTTTGTTTCTCTCAAAAAGTTGTAATATACTGTTAAAAAAAAAGTATCATGCATTTTTTTAAGTTTTAAAAATAATTTAATTGCTATAATTTAAAAAAAAATGGAGCAGGTGTATATGCCCTGCCATTGTCCATAGCGATTACAGAATATTAATTAAATTTTTATTTCCATATTTTTACCCTTGGTAGTTATTTCTTTTGTGTATATAACCATATTTTGATTATTTTTGGAAATTTAAACGAAAAATTTGTTTACTTATTTAGCATTGTTGAAAAAAAATTTGTTTACTTTTGTAGGTATACTGTACTGTAAAGTACGGCTGTACTTTCCCTTTCTCCTATTCAAAACCTATAGGAATAGACCATGTAAAAAATATGATACACAATATGAAATTGAATTCCAGGCATTTTTATGATGATAATGAAAAGATAAGTCCAGCCCTAAGCAATAAATATTTTCAAAAGAACCATATATAAGCAGTCATTCTTCACAGTTAATTTGATGTTTTAATTGTACATTGATTCCTGGAACAAGCATGCTTGTGGATCTCGATCCACTGAGTAAATCAGTGAGTGGGCCTATACATCCACTGTGGCCGTTTGAAGTGCAAAATTTAGTTACAGCATTTATAAGCCAAAAGGAGTAGGTTATTTAAGAAATCTACAGCAGTACAATACATAAAATAATTTTTTTTAAATTAAATTAATTACTAAATAATTTGAAAATATGATCAAATATTATGAATAAAATATGAGCGCTGAAGGTTCTCATTCTCACAGAAAATAAGGTTCTCTCATTTCTTAAATATAGATGTTTATTTTTAAAACCAAATAAAAAATTAGGAAGCTAAAACAGCTTCCCAATGTCATTGTCATTTCAATTCAAACATTTTTGCAAATAATCCTCCAACTTTAGTATGTCAAAACAATCAACAATTTCATTGAGGGATTGACCTCTTCTTAACTTAGTTATTGGTGATAATTGGTAGTTATCGGTAACAAGTGATAATCTACCCAAGTGATAACAATGTCTTGTCTGAAATCAAGTCTTCTTTCTTCTGTGCTGTTTTTCATAAATGCTTGTTAACAATGTACATTTGCAAACTAGTTTTCATTAAACAATTCCACGAATTGTTGATAAATCCGATAGGTGAAACCCTTTGGTATCCAAAAAAATAAATTACAGCTGAAATTTGGAACTTGGGAGTATTGGAAATCAGCACCTCAATTACAGTCTATAAACAAAATGGAGCACAGCAAAGCCAGGAAAACTTAGTCGATCGAAAGTAGGAAAATCACTGCACATGGCAGTGTTGACAGAATGTATCCATCAATTTTAATATGCACTAGTGGTCAACAATTCGTCAATCATATGAAAAATAAGGAACAATGAACAAATAGGACATCCACACACATGTTAAGTTGATTACCAAAAAAAAAAATGTTTGGGAAAATATGAGATTAAGATGAAATTAGACACTTCTGCAATGAATTGTGATGACAAACTAGCTGTTTTTGATTTCACAGTAGCATTAATACCAAATTAAGTCGTAGTTAATTCTGTATGAAAAAAACAAAATAACAACAATGTTTTAGTACTATAGAAAAGAATGAATTACAAACATTTAATTCAATTAAAAATCGAAATTCATCAAAACTATAAATCATTGAGAATTTCAATGTAAACTTAAAGGTAGTAACAATTTTAAAAGTTATTATTTAGGTAAAAATGAGGAACATGGGCAAGTAGTTTATCACTGAGTGGATGATATGTTTAAGCAAATCCTTTGAAGGTATAAAAAAGAACCGCTCGGTGACAGCCAACACAAAAGCCAATCCAAACATTGGTCAACATTTCCACCAATACACAAATATTTACAAATACTCTGATCCACAACAAATAAAGTCACTTTCCACAAATAGAATGTTATAACAAAGGCACCATTGTGAATACTTTACCTCAACAAACGCAGGGTAGGCAGGATCAGTCCAAGCTATCAGAGTCTCTGAAGGTAAACTTTGTCCTTTCTTTGGCAATATAGCAGTTATATAGAAAATATACTGAGTATTTGGATGAAGACTTTCCAGAGTATGGGATGTCACAGTAGTATCAGATGAATGGAAATTTGTATCAGAACTGGCTTTGTAAAACACCCTAATAATAAAATATTATGATTATTTTTCTAAAACAGAAAAACACAGAAATAAATTATTTTTTTGAAGCTAAAAACTTAATATACCTATAAATTAGTTGCTCTGCTGGCTGACTGAATTCTGGAGGTTGCCATGAAATAGTTACGTAAGTTGCACTATGACTGGATACGGCCAAAGAATGAGGTGGTGTGGTTACAGCGGCCAGACCCTTATCCCCAATCACTGTAAAAATTGGATTGCTTAGAAATACAAATCAAAGTTAATAGTTTTAGCAAGACTATAAATGTAATATGGGTACCAGTGCTAAGTACTCTACTCTCTTTTATTATTATTTTTTTCATTAATACAATCGTATGACAACTAAAGTAATTTATCGTTCATTTCAGATTTCATTTAGTATTTCATAGTTTATTGTTTGTAGCAACTATTTGTAATATTGTGACCTTATTGCTCATATTTCTTTAATATATCTGTATAGCTATGTAAATACTTCAGTTATTACTTATTTTTTAGTTATTCTTTTTTATTGTAATATGCATTTTGGTCAGATGTTTTCTGTTCAATATTGTTATTCTTTGTACCACAATAAAGTTGATTCTTCTAGTCTAAGTTTTATAAACCTCTTAAAAGTATTTAAGTTGAGAAACTTATTGAAGATTAAGGTGTTAAATATGGCCACAAACACAATCGATTTAACATGGCATAGGGTCTGCTAAAGCTGGTATTAATTTTGTAAATGTGCAGAGAAATAATAAGGTTTAGAAATTATAATAAGGTTTTCATCTTTTGTTTACTACTTTTTTTTTTTTTTGTGTGAAATGGAATTAAAAAAAGATGTTGAAGGAATCTTGAAAAAAGAGAACAATGATCTGTTAACATATTTACGGAAAACCTGATGAAGTTCAAAGTGAATAACTTTTTATTTTTAATTACCTCATAAATTTACGGTTGTCACACTTTTATATATTAAATATTGATAAAATTAAAGAAAATGAGACCTTAAAAAAAATAAAGTACAAATTACCACAAGTTGAGGTTCGGTATCAATTTACTTTATCTAATACTATTTTAGTTGGCAGGTCAGCAAGAGTCATGCTAACTTTTTAGCAACATAATTAATGAGCATTTATCTTTTCGTATTTAACTTTCTCGTTGTGCCTTTCAGTGTCATGTTTGCATTAATTAGAAGTTACATAAATATCCCTAATGCTAAAATAAACTGTCAATGTGGATATCCACGTGTGTATAAAATATTTTACTAAGAACATTTTCATCAATAAAGAATAAAAATAACAATAAAAAAGAGGAACGATATCCAGACTAATCATAGCTAGCCATTGTCTTGAGTGATTGAACCATTGCCTTGAGTGCTAGCCATTGAATTACACATAGAATAAAATTGGATTTTTTTTTTTTTTGTGCTTTTCTGTTGGCATTACAGACCATGTAGATCTTTTGACGCCTTAATAAGCCTGCTCCATCTCCGCCTATTTATTTCCATTTATCTGCACGACGCTCTGTTGCATCTTTGTTGATTCAATCTATCCATCTGCTTTTTGGTCTTCCACATGGTCTTTTGCCTTCTATTGAAGAATTCATTGTTATGTAGAGGCTTGCAGATAGATTGTTGCGAGTTACATCTTAAACTTTGGGCCTTCAAATCATGGGATATTGATCGAACAATTTCTTTAAGCAATTCTTTGTTGGTCTTTCTACTTCATGTGTTAGTACTCTGGATACCAGATCGCTCCGGATATCGTGCGGAGGATTTTTATCTCAAATCTTTCAACACTTACATATATAAACTATATATATATATATATATATATATATATATATTAATATTTAATCTTGTTTTTTTAAAATATTTTTTAAAATATTTAAAACAATTTATTTAAAGTAAATAACTAACCATTTTCAGCTATAATTCCTTAAATATCCCAGTCTTATAAGACCTTGCCCCATCTCTAAAACCCCAAAGGAGCAATATTTGGACTGGACAAATACTTCTTGTTTTTGTACAATTTGAATAGAAAAAAATTGTATCAAAAACGGACATGAGTTATTTAAAAAAAAAAAAATGATAAAAATCAAATTTCTTGTAACACAGCTTCAATTTAAACCGATTCTAATGATTTTTTTCATAATTCAACAAGAACTTTCTTGCATAAAATTATCAGAAACAGTTCGAGTTGAACCTACAAAGCAAAAATTGACTTTTTCTCAACTTTCTGAAAATTAAACGTGTCCATTTTTCATATTAAGCCACTCACATTAGCTCACAACACCACAATAATGGATTAATAAAGTACCCTCAGCATCTAATACGAATAATGTGAACTGTGAAAATAGAAATATTACTACATCTGGGATATGAAAAATAAATAAATATATATATAATATGACCAACTAGATCTGTTTCCTACCTGTCTTTGTGATATTAACATGAAGAATTGAAGATGGAAGAGATGTACCATGCTCATTTCTGGCAACAACAAATATTTTATAAAGCTTTCCAGTTTCCAATCCAGTTATTTTTTCAGTAGTTGAGGTTGTGTTTATTTGCTAAAATAGATAATTTGTGATAATATTACTATTTATAGAAGCGACTATTGCGAAAGTACCAAAAAACAACTTTAAAAAATATTTACACAAACCAGTAACATTTTTTTTTTTTTTTTAAGCTACCAGGTGAATGCTCTATTTTTACAGAAGATGTGACTGTCATAATGAATAGTCTCTATTTTATAAGGAATTCTAGAAAAAAGTGCTGGGTCGTTGTAACTGACTCATGGAGTATCTTAGGCACCATTGGCAATCCATCCCGAAGGAATTCTATTATTAAAGAAATAAATATGTGGGGGAAAGTAAAATAAAAGGGCATGTCAATAATATTCATTTGGGTACCAGCTCATTGCGGCATTGTTGGAAAAGAAAAAGTTGAATAAGCAGCCCATTTAGCCAAAGTGAAGAAGAAACGGCGGTGATTAGATTAAAGAAAGTAACTTAATGAGAATAGGAGAAAGAATATAAAAGGAAAGAGTGCAAACTGACAGAAGTAAAACCTAATTGCAGCAAATGTCTCACTAGCTCCAGAAGTTCAAGGAGAGAAGATGTTATGCTTTGCTGACTAAAGATTGGACACTGCCAGTTTACACATGGCTACCTTCCGAGAGGACTTGAAGCACCCGAAACATTCCACGAACAGTGAAACACTTACTGGAAGAATGTCCTCAATTTGAAAATTATAGAAGAAAAACAGGCTTAGCCAAAACATTAAGAGAAATCTTATAAGATATTGAAGAATGAGTCACTACTTTTATTAAAATTTTTGAAGTCAACAAAGTATTATAAAAGAATATAAATTTTAGTAAAACGCCATTGACCATTTGGGATAGAGGCGTGAAAGAGAGAAATTTTTTTTTTTTGGCAATGCAACAAAATCTGAATCAAAAATTAAAAAAAATTCATTTTAATTTATAAAACCAATGATTTTATTTTATTTACTAAAATTTTTCTGTTCAATAGAATAGAATTTTTTTTTTTAAACTGGACTAAAAGGAAAATCAATAAAAATTTTAGAACTACGTAAATGGAGAGAGGTGAATAGTTATCTAAAAACAAAGTTCCACAAAATATGATGTGTAATGTCATTATCTTAAGATATCTTTTCATGACAATTATAACTATTATTATTAACCAAATCTGACAATTGCGGTAATTTTTAATTTCAGAAATAAAACTTTAGTTATTACATTTTATATGTAATAACTAATAAAATGAATTTACATCAGGAAGTATAAATTAACTCAGTTTCAACAAACTTTATAATTGAAATCAGGATGTGAATATATTCAATATTTCTGAATAATATTTTTAGAACAGTATTAGGATGAAGCGAATGATTACAGGATATACAATACGTACACTAAATAAAAAGCACTTAACCATGAATATAACAAATTTGTTTATTAATAGTCCTAACTTAATGCCCAAAAAACAGTTATTTAATTACTAGAATTTTAACTAAATATGAAATAGCATAAGCATTAGGTAGATATTTAACGTTTTTCCTAATTTAACCAACATTCAGGAATGTTCTTCAAAGCTTACTCTATGATTTTTTCAGTAAGCTAAACCGAGCTCTTAGCCAACGAGATTTAAAACCAACTACTTTCTGTTGTAGTTTGACCCATCACAGTATTATGACCAAATTTATTAACATTAAATTTTATCATTAAGGAGTTTTCAAGGTTCAAATAATGCTGTACAGCTGGAGCTAATTTTTTAATCAATTAGAGGGTTTCAAATAACAAAACTCAGTAAATGTTCCTAAAGGTTGGACAAACTATAACCAAGATGACCGTTATTGATTGTGATATGAAAAGGGTTCAAATTATTTTTTTGATCCACAATATACATCTTCACACAAAAATAAGTCAAAATAAACTTACATTGTCCAGTTTCAATATAGTTTCGTGTATTGACGTGTTATCGACTTTCTTGTAATTTATGAGGTAATCAGTTACATTAGCACCTTCAGCCGGTGGTTTCCACGTCAGTGTAATTTCAGTATCAGTGATTTCCAGAGCATGTAGTTCCAAAATGGGCCCTGGAAGCTTTCCAGTACCTGTAAAAAATGAAAGAAAAACAATTTCTTTATTTTAGATGGTACTGAAAATAATAAACAATGTTCTCAACAACAAAAGTATTAACAGCTAATCTATGCAACTGCTTGATAACAATAAAATAAAATTGTGTGTGTGTAAAATATAATAATTTTGAAGTTAATTTCCTTTTGATTCCATTTTTTATGATCACTTCAATATCATAACGTAATCTGTAGTACCAGACTTGAATAAAACGGGTCTTAAAAATGGGGATATTGCCAATTTTGGTTCCACAGCCAAACTTACATTGACGAAATGTTTAAAATGGAATTCCTAGGCAACGAGGAATAGTACAGTTGCCTCATATTGGAGCTTAGAACGCTTTTGAATCAGTACTAATTGTCTTAATTCAACAGCCATTAAAAAAAAAAAACTCTTAAAAAAATGAAAAATAAGAAAAAAAGTTGTCTTACCTTCTTCAAAACACTGAACAATGTTTCCTATGTACGGGATACAAGTATGAGTAGTCGTTATTAAGGATTGTATCAAGGTACCAGAGCAAACTGGTAGGCATGGAGGAGACACCCCACGTCTTGTACAGCATGGTGTATGGTTTCTGCCTCCAGCACCACAGCGAATCAGTTTGAAAAATTCAGCACCACACACTCCAGCCAACATCTTCAGCTGAGACATGCTTGCGTCATATGAACATAATGGCATACACGACGTACTAAGACCAGCATTGACACAGCATGCAGTAACATTGTAATCATTTTCATTCATTTCTAATTCAGCTTCGTACTTCTGAAAATGTGAAAAATATGTTTAATCAGAAAAAAAAAAATGTATTATCCATTTATTTTAATACTTACTAATACAGCAATTCAAATATTTACAAGACAATTGAGTAAGTACAATAGGCAAAGTTAAAGTATTTACCTGGCTTAGGGTAGAGAACATAACCCTCTGAGAAGGATCTCCTATACCATGCACATTGGCAGCAGCAACATATACTTCGTACATTGTATTACTTTGCAAATGTTCTAAAATCAATGGAGAGTTTACCTAAAATTGAAAATTATGTAATATTATTACATCGCCCCTTTAAAAGACTTTAATTAAATTTAAAATATCAAGATACTTATTATTTTGAACTAGATTAAATAATATATTTTAATAAGGGTAGTTGAGCATTTAAAATTTTTCTAATCGCAAAATTTTTAACTTGAATTCTTATAATTTAAAGAGCGAGAGATCCATGACCTTTAATTTATAAAGAATCAAGATAACAAAAGATTGTTTTTTCCAGTCACAAGTCAATGGAGACAAGACCTAAGATATTGAATGGTTTTAATAATGTTTAAAGAATTATTCCGAAAAATTTGCACATCAATACCAAAAAATTGATTTGGTTGGATTAACTCTTTAACATTTAAATGTATAGGAAGGAAAATATTATTTTATAATATTCAATTGTTTCCGAATGTTTATAAAACAAAGATAGAATCTATTTGTATGGGATTTTTCCCTTAAAACAAATGAAGATTAAAATAAAAAAATATATATATATATTTAACTAATTAAACAAAATAGATATTTTGTAATATCATTAACTGTTATACTTTAATTATAGGTAATCAGAAAAAATGCAGTATGTATGATTCAGCTTACATCAGTAATAACAGAATATTCCTGGTTATCATGAAGTGGTCGATAGTACACATTGTAATTAACAACGGTATCTCCAAGACTTTTGGGTGGTTCCCAATGCACAATTCCGAAATCGAGATCAACATTTGAAATTCTGACTCCAACGGGATTACCAGGTAGAACTCCATAACCCTCCATAAGGCAGCTAATATAACTTGGCATGTATTTAATGCACCTGAGACACAATAATATAATCATAATACATAAAGTATATACAATGTAAAATAATGAATAGTAATTGAATAAAGTTTACCTAAAGTACGAAAAATCAAACTGAGTTAAGTTTCCAGAGCATAGATCTTGGCAGATCCTTGGCAATCCTCTTGCTCTACAACAAGGAGTATGATCCATTCCGTTGGCTAGGCACTTGAAAGCTGTTGTGGCCCAGGGTGCACAAATCATTAGATTTGCAACTTCTAATTGTGCTCCTTTGTTTTCAACAAGGCCACATAATTTGTCAACACAACTGAAAATTATACAGTACGAAAGTTTTAAATATTAGTATGGACAAAGTTCTTAAAATTAAATTTAAGTAAATAAAGTGTTTGAAATTGACCGATCCAGAATAAGTGTTCATAACTACAGTTCAGACAGTTCTGGGATAATAGGTGTTAGTGAACAATAATGTGAGCAAATAAAAGTATAAAATGTTAACTGGAGACATAATAGCTCTGGAGCCAAGTAAAAAAACTGACCTTATCGCAGGCGAACATTTGATTGTAAATTACGAAAGTGTATATTATTCTGAGTAAAAAGAACCTTGTCTGCCGTTCCAGAGCTACTGCTTTAAAAAATCGAGGCTGATTTAAAGGATATTAGGCCAGTAATTTGAGGATCAAAATGGGAAATCCATTGTGAAAAATGTGAGAAAAGTTTTTATTTTTTAACTTGTTTATATGGGTTTAGAAATGTAAAAAATAAAATTTCTAATGTGGAGCACCAAGGGAAAACTTTTTACAGCCAAAAAAGTCAGTTTTTTAGATATGTTTTTGTTTTTTCACTCTTTAACTCCTAAACGATGCATCAAACCAAAAAATGTATTCTTTAGTAAATTAAAGAACGTTAAATTTTATATCGAATGAGTACATATGGGTATAAAACCACGGTCAACCAACGCTGATTTTTACCGAATTTGTGAAAAACAGACGAATTACTTTAAAGAGCTCTGTAACTTTGAAATAAGTTCCCTAATAGGAAGAACCCATAGAATCATTTTTATAGTGCATCAAATTTTGTGTCCACAAAGTACTGACATTTTTATTGTAGGCCAATTATATATCTCGAATTGGGATTCGTTATTTCTTTATGAAATCTGGTATCTTTCAACACTTCGTTTATCAAAATTCCTTCGCAACTGAGAGGTGGAAAAGAGGCTTATACTGCATGTAACAGGCTCTAAACAGAAAAACTCTGTAGAATAGTCATACTGTTGACGTATTGAATCACATTTAGCTTCATTATCAATTTCTAACCATCGGAAGATTACCGATTTTGTTTGGAGTAAGTGACCTACATGAAATTAGTTGATACTCAATGAAGGCATTGATTCTATGGGTTGTTCCTATTAGAGAACTCAGTTACAGAGCCATTTATAGTAATTTGTCTCAGTTTTTAACAAATTTGGTAAAAATGAGCATTGGTTGATTATGGTTTTATACCTTATTATCTCACCAAATTATTAAAGTTATGTACTCATTCAACATGAAATTTGACATTCTTTAATTTATTAAAGCATATGTTTTTCGCTTTGATGCATCATTTAGGAGTTTTAGGTGAAAAAATAAAAACATCTAGAATAAATCTGACTTTTTGGGCTGCAAAAAGTTTTCCATTGGTGGTCCAGGTTAGAAATTCTGTTTTTTACATGTCTAAACCCATATAAACAAGTTAAAAAATAAAAACTTTTCTCACATTTTTCTCAATGGATTTTCCGTTTCAATCCTCAAATTACTGGCCTAATATTCTTTAAATTTTTTAAAGTCAGCCCCCATTTTTTAAAGTAGCGGCTCTGGAACAGCAGACCAGATTCTTTTTACTCAGAATAACATACACTTTTGTAATTTACAATCAAACATTCGCCTGCGATGAGGTCAATTTTTTCGGGCTCTGGCTCCAGGGTTATAAGTTTAACAATTACTATATAAAAATAAACTCATTGTTTAAATTATGTTAAAGACATAAAGTTTAATATTGGCAATTGCACAGTGTGCTTTATTATAAACTAAATTAATGGTAATGAAACAAGTTGACTATTTTTTATTTTAATTTCTGGATTAACGATAGTTTCATATATACCAGATTATAAAAGGATTTTCACTCAAATGGAAATTCAGCAGTTATATAAATGCTAAAAAAAAATTAAAGCTGTATAAATTCTTCATTAAAGCTACGAATAGCTCTCTTAACATACATAAACACTAAAAATAAAGAAACTATTCTATAGCTAAGATTTTCTTATTTGAGGTAACTAGATAACTAGCTATAAATGAACAACACACTCATTCATACAGTTTAACATTAAGTCCAAACAGCATAGAAATTGTTTATTTATTAGAAAGAATATGTATCTGTTACCCTTTTTCCTGAATGCCATTATCAGCACAACATCGAGGTATGTCAGGCAGAACGGGAACTTTCTTTGGTATAACACTTCGCATATTTCCAGGAGTAAGTGTAAGTGAGCGCACTGGATTTGAAGGAAGACTAGATCCATGCTTATTTTTGGCTACAAGAGTTACTTCGTACATGGTAAAAGGGACTAGTTCTTTTATCACAACGTAGTTGCTTTGGTTGTCTGTCACCTGAAAAAGAATAGCCAATAATCTAACAAATAAAAAAAAGTAGTTTTTATAACTACTTTAAATAAGCCCTCACCACATCACAGTCAATTCAATTAAAAGATAAAAATCCCATTCACATCTATTTCTATACAAATAAAACAAAAATAAATTAAATCAGTAACTTTAAACATAAAGGAGCAATGTTCTAAAGTTAAAAAATTAAGATAACAGCATGGAAGAAGTAGGGGTAGAGTAAACCTTAATCATTTTTAAAGGGTCAATATCTTTCAATTTTTAGCTCTTAAAATTGACTAATAATTGGAAGACATTTGTCCATTTAAGAATATAAACTACCTTAATTTCTATCATACAATTCACTCAAAGTCCAAAGGTTCGGAATTAGCCCTTTGGTTTCAAGTTACATAATATAAAATATGGTGTGGTGCGGTATCACACAACTTTCACTTACCACTCTTCTTTTATGAAAAATAAGTATTTTCTGACAAAGGGAAGAGAAAATAAAAATCAGAGACAATACAAAATATTTTTTAAAACAATCGATTTTTAAACAACTACATATTTTTCACAGCAGTTTGCTTTTTTTCTTTTCTTTTTTTTTTTTTTTTTTGAGGATTTTAATTATAAATTTCGAGACCTGAATGTAAGAAATCTAAGGCTGAATTGACCAAAGTAAATTTATAATTAAATAACTAAACATATGTCATACTGTCTTATGATAATGGTAAAAAATAACAGAAAATTACTTATAGTTATTATGATGACTCACGTGGACCAGTGAGAATTCCAAATATCTAATATATTATAGATATTGACACTGATTTACTTCGTAATGAACAAATTTAGTTGTCGCTAGATATCAATAAAACAATTACACAATATCAATGTGAAGTGTATAAGTCAAACATCACAAAGCAAAATAGAGATGTTATTAGCTAATATTAATATAAACATAACATAACAGAAAATGCAATATATATAATCTTTGGCATGTGATATGTAAAATTTATATCGCACTTACTTTAACATTTACTTGGACACTATGAGGAGTGACGATGGCTTGACTGTTGTTTTGTTCTTCTGAAGCAATGTCGGTCACAGAAGCTGAATCAAAGCTCTTAAGCATTGTAACATTGACTGTATATTCAGTTAAATTATGAGGAATGTTGTATGGTGACTTCCACTCTACCCCGAAAGATGAATCAGTCAATGGGATAACTTGTACATCTAGAGGCTGACTTGGCAAGAGTTCTAAGACAATATATAAATTAATTTGATTACGTTATTTATTATTATAAGTTTATAATTGTAAGTTTTAACTTATGATATATATCTATACATAAAAAAGGGATGGAGTTACCTATTCCTTCAACGATACAGGCAAGGGTTTGTTCAGTATAAGCTGCACATGAAAAGTGGGTTTTGATGTTGTCAGTTATTATAGTATATTCACCTCTGCAGACATCTTGACAAATATCAGGTACCTTCTCTTCCATGCAACAGGGGACATGGTTTCTACCATCTATAAATACATGTCATAGTTAAGTAAAATCCTTATATGGTAAGGAATAAACTCTACTTAAAACATTTTATATTTTAAAATAACAACATAAACACAAGACTCAGATACACTAGCAATTGTGGAAGATGAGACTTAAGCATTTAAATTAATCAACAAGTGGGCTTCATTGTAATTGCTAAAATTAACTCTAGATTATTATCCTTTTTTACCTAACAAAACGAAATTAATTTTGGCTTACTCCTAAAGGATCCAATCACAAGACACTCAACAAATTTACACTCGCCACACGATAAGTATCTATCATGCCTGAAATAAGAATCATCGAGCCCCAAAACTTAAATATGGAAAAATAGGTATGAACCATAACACAAAAATAATGAAGCGACGATTAAAATAAAAAATAAATATTTGGCACCAAATCATCATGAACCGATTATCAAAATTGAAACGTTAATAATCAAGACACGCCATCAAATGGACATCGGTGTTAGATTGAGACAAAAGTTTACAACCAACATTAATTTATTAACTGTTTAGAAATAACAGGAAGCTCGAAATTTAATTAGGGCGAACACCTGATTCAAAAGGATAGCCAGTTTTACCAATACACAGAAATAAACCAACACTGAACTCTACGAATTCCAAATTTAAAAAAAAAAAAGACATATTTATTAATTTATATACTATAATTTTAAAAAAATTAAATTTGGTATGAAAATTTTATAAAGTGCTAAAAATTCAATAAAAATTATGGAAATAAATGACCCGCCACTCTAGCTCGTTTTCTAGACCAGTTTACTGTGTTAAATTCGTGCCCGGTCTTACTAATTAGTTATTGTGAATTGTAAAAAGCTCAAATTATGGAAGTATTAATGTTCAGGTATTATAAATGTTAATAGTTTTATTCTAACAATTGTTAATGAAATTAATAACTTGTTAATTTTCTTAAAATTTACGTTTTCACACATCTTTGTTATATTTTTCAGTGCTCAACCAGGGATGCATAATGGCTTCCGTTGGAGATTATGTAAGTTTTGTCCATATAATATATCATATATATATTTCGGTGAATATGTGTTAGTACAAAGGATGTTACTACATGTTCTTAGTAATTAGAATCTTAGTTTTCCATTAAACCACAGCAATATAATAATACAAACGTTAATTAAAGTAAGGTAAAAGCACCAATAGCTGACAATGTACCATTATCTGACATCTTGAAAAATGGGAATAAAAAGATTTCAGGATCTCCTAGACCTCTATTTCATAAATTTTTAGTTTTTATATTTTCTCCTTGTATACTTATCTGCTTTGCTTTAGTCTTGGCCAAAACCATGACCGTAATAATGAGTAGCAAATTAGGAAGTTCCTTCAGGGTCCACTTAGTGTCCTAGGAACAACCATCTAACAGTAAGGACATCATACCTTTGGTTTGCCTTTCCATATTTTACTTTGATTTATTCCAAAAATTTGTTTTATTTTTTTTTAGAGAGTTTTAAAATTGTGTTTTATCTGTTATTAACTTGTCTTGATAAAGGAATAGAATATTTAAAGAATATCAGCTACTGGAATCTCATAATAGGGCCTTTTGCCAGTAGTCAGCTAAGATTGGCGGTGTCGATCTTAGACATTCAGTATCCTAGGGTAATAACATCATCTCTCCCCCCCCACCTAAGAGAACAAATTTATTTCTTAGACTGTTTTATATTATGTAATATTTGGTTTATTTCATTCAATATTTATCTAATACCGTTGCCTTAATGATAGATTAAAATTAATTATTTTAACACATTTTGTATTTTTTTTTAATTTCAACAAGTGGCGAGTGCCCCTGAAGTTTTGTTGGCGCCCTGTGGCAATTGCCCCCGTTGCTCCTCACTAAGACATGCACTGGCTGATATGCCTGTAATCTCATAAATTCAAGGAGTTCTACTTAATATAGGGAGTCTTAAAAAAAAGGGACCATTCATTTCCCTCTTGTTAAGAAAAAAAATTTGCAAGTGATTTGGAATAAATATATAGCAAAAACATGGCTTTCCTGTCGCCAAAAACAGACTGTAGGGAGAACAAAAAAAAAAAAAAAATTTTTATACTTAATTTGATTATTTTTTTAAAAATTATATATTTATTTTTTTATATCTTTAGTTTTTCTCTAATTCCTTAAATTTTCAAATTATAAATTTTCTGTGTGGTTACTAAGATATAGGAAATAATTAAAACATTTATTCTCACCTGCCATGCATCTCACTATCGATTGAAAATCTGTTTCACAATGTTCTGGATCTTGGCCTGTGGTTCCTTCCAGAATGCTGTGAATGTTACAAAAACCAAGGCAGGATTGACTAACATTTAAGGCTATGCAACATTCAGTGTAGTTGTGGTTTCCAGCACGGTCTGTTGCTGAGTCCTGTGTTGGAGGAACCAAGTCACGAGACAACACTAAAAAAAATAATGTATTGTGTTATTAATCGTTGGTATTATATGAAGCAAAATATGACTAAAGGGGTGAGGAAGATATTTAATTACTGGATAAGAAATAGTAAGATGGGCTCTAAAAAAAGGCCCAACAAAATTTTGGATACTGATTTTGCTGCTTCATCATGTCATTATTGCCCTTTATATATATGTGAAAAGAACCATAGCAATATTGTTTTATTGTTATTTTATTTTTTTAATAATGTGATGTTCATTAACTGAATATTTTTTACAAATTTAGTTACAATCCACAAGTTCATTTATAAAAAATGATTTCTGTAGTTATATAATACGTAACTGATTCATCAATATTATGTTTTATATACTAAAATGTTCACAATGTTTTCTATGTTTCATTGTTAATTTGTTTCTTCTCTTATGCTTTGATTTTCTTGAGCCGTTTTAGTCATGCAATGTTTAGCAACCCAATAGACTTCACTTTTGGTCTTAACTTTGGATCTAGTGTTCTGTAGTCCAGGAGAAGTCATTTGTGGAAAAGTAGGAAGCATGATTAGAAGTGGCAATTATGGCTATCTGCAAACTAATTAGAATCATGATTTTTTATCAATTTCTAGGTGAGGAAATCTGCTTTTAAAGCAATATGATTGTCGGTAACTCAAATTTATTTCTATAATCAGTAAAAGAACCTAAATCTACTCTCTTATAATATCTCCATCTGCAATAAGTAATCAGTTTTCTCATTTACAATTTCTATCCTTCCATCAGTTATCTCTATCCAAAGGTGTGAATGGAGAAAGGCTATGAATCCTAGTAGACAACTACACCTCAACGGACCATAAAGAATAAACAATTTTTACAAAGCAAATGCATGCTGTTTATCCAAGATTTCAGAAATGGATTTTTATTTGAACAGTGAGTTGCTGAAAATCAAAAGTAATTGATTTATATTAAAATATAATTTTCTGTCTCTTAAAAGAGTATTCTAGGAGTGGTAGACATTGTAAATAACTTAATCGATAAAAGCAGGAACAGATAAGTAGAATAGTTTCTCACTTCCGTACTCAAAAATTGGTCTCTATAACTTTTATACACCATTGTCAGTACCACTTGGTTTGTTCTCATTTTCTACCTGTAGTAAAGATGGAATTCAATATTCCTTATATGATTGAAGGATATTTTCCTGACTCTTATGGTAAGATATATGGTGAATTAACTTTAAATGCTACAGTTAATAATCTTTTTTCAGACTAAATAAAATTCATTTTGTTTTTCAAATAATTATCTTGTTAAAATTATATGATTTTAAATGAAAGTAATGTAATTGTTTACCATTAAGCTGGTGATAGCTTCTTACTTCAGGTACACTGTTAACTTCACAGGAGTAAAGGCCAGAATCATTTCTGTTCACCTCTTTCACAGCCAAAACCCACACATCACCACCTGAAAAAATATTAATTAGCACATCATTTTTATGATAAAGTAAAAATAAATACAGCCATTTATGATATATTTATACATAAACATATAGTCAGGGCCAAAGTATTCATTCAGCAGTTGAAAAAGAAAAAAAATATGTGCTACTATTTGTAACGGGTAATTTGTCATGGGATTTTCTTTTTTTGATATATAAATTTATGATTTTTTTTTTCTAATTTATTTAGTGCCCAACATAAATGAAACGAGATTCTAATCCTGCTTTTGTGCAATTCTTAAGATAACATGTATTCTATTCTGATGTAAAAAATTAAAAAGATACTGCTTTAATTCAAGAAATCTTAATCAAATAATATCAGTACACATTCAGAAAGAAAATTATTTAAAAAATAAGATATATAATTGATTGAGCGATAAGTAAATATATATAACATTACTCTCATAATTGATTATATGTAGCATCTTTCGTTTTTAAATTCTTATGTTAGTTCATTTATGACCCAATGTTAGTACTCTTGAGCTATATTTCTCTAACCTTTAGTTGAAATATTTTATTCTAACAATGTAATGATAAGTCTATCTCCGAGGCAGATAAATAAAAAAGGATTATAGCTAGTAAGCATAGGAAGCTGCATTTAAGCCTGTCAGAATAAGATTGATAAAGAATCATGATGAAACTGACCATTCAATTTTAGTTCGGTCTGATAAAACAAATATTAATAGATAAAAATCTGAAGGAAAACGCTGCGTATGGTTAGATGAAAATGAATAATCGGCAGTTTGAATTATCAAGTCAAATATTATGTGTGGCAATGGTATGAGGATTTAGAGACCAATCAACACATATTTCTCTTTTTCAGTGATCACTCTTTATCAATTTGGCATGGTTATTTCAGGTTTTTATACCCCTATTGCCGATTGTTCTAAAATTTTGATATAACATATTTCTGTCTTAATACATTCAATTTTATACTACATGACTCATTCAGAGATCATGCATCCTCTCCTAATCATCAACATCTCAGCTCTAGGCTAGGTTACTGTACCAACAATTTTCATATATTTTAAGAAGGGTAACCAAGTAAGACAATCCTTTCAAATGTAGAAGATCAAAAAAGGCCAACCTCTTTAATAATAGTAAACAAAAATTGATATACAGCAGTTTTTCATAAAAACTATTTCTAAAAAAATTATAAAATTGGACTAGTGGTGTGCGAATTATAAGAGCCAGTATATTTCTTTAAGATTGAGGAATATAACCACAGAATAACTTTTTAATAATTTAAAAATAAATGATGCCTTGGTTTGATCAATTTATTGTGCTACTTTATAAATTAATTAATATTGTTGCACTCAAAGGCGTTAATCTATCCACAAAACTGGTTTTGAAACACTGTAAATCCATTAAATTCTAATATATTACTAATGAGTGGTTCTTGTATAGTTATGGATCAAAAATGCTGTATTTCTGTATATATATATTGAGAAAATAGATCCTCGTAATAGTGCAATAGTCCTAGTTTTTCCTCCAATAAGTTAAATAAAGTTTAGTTTTATTATCTAAAGAATTTATTTACTATTATATATTGTGAGTTATACTCTCTACGTTAGGATTTATTTAGTATGTTGTACAAGTGAGAGCAGTTGTTTGAAGAAATAAATTGATAGAAATGTGTTAAAATAAATAAATTATAGTTACATTTCTGTATTATTTTATTAAATTATTTGAACCAATAATATATTTTACCTTAAATATATCATCGTACCAATGCTAATAAATATATGCACTAGCATATGCGAGATTACTTTTATGTGTGTTAATAATTAATAAGAAAGTTATATAGGGAAAATTATGATTAGTGTATAACATAAAAGAGCAGAAGCGGTAAATTTAGGGATAGAGTGCCCTTGAATAACCAAGAGGGAACTTTAGGCATTCCAGTTTAATTTCAATGCTGGCCTTAGACATTCGGTGCCACCGGGCAATGACATTAGCCCCTCTAAAAAAATTAAATTTATTTCATTGAACATTTCTCTGTATTTTTTCTTTTCCAAGTGGCGAATGTTGGATCTAAAGATCAGCTGGCGACCCCAACCTAAGAAATAAACCTAATTTTTTTATGGGGAGAGGAGATGACGTCAATGCTTGGAGGGAGGGGGAGGGCCAATGTCTAAGGCAGGCACTTTCCTTTAAATCTTTCGATCACTAATCTGTTTTCTCATGATTGCCACTAGTATCTATAGCGTTGCAATTCATCAATGGACAGTAAATTATGCGTCTTTAATCAGCTTGTAATTTTACTGACAAACGCAACTGGAATTGAGGTTTTAAGTAATAATTTCTACATAACAACTTGTCTTCTGTGAAGGTCTAAATACACATGAAAAGGAACGAATAGGAAAGTGGATGCAGATTGAAATGGCATTGTTTCATAGAATATTCTCTATACTTTTATCCTGGTTTCGTGGCGACCATTATCGTCCCGTCCATGTGACGGCTCTGGTCTTTACGCATGAAGGAAAAGGGCAATAGAGAATTGTTTACAGAGACTGTGCAATCAATATCTTATGATGTGAAAGCGGTGAGGTTAAGATGGGCGGGACATGTTCGAAATAATCCATTAAGACGCCTTTACACAAAAACGAATGCGACGGCAACTAATTTGGGTACGTTTTTGTCAAAAACTACTTGAGTAACGAGCATTTTACACTGTGTTAAACTCTTAAAAGAGTTTTATCATTACATAAGTAGATAGTCTATGGCACAGGCGGATCTACGGGGAGGAGGAGGCTTTGGAGCTGAAACTCCCTCCCCAAAATGGTAAAATGTAACCCCGTTTTATAGGAAAAAATATTAAAACATTATGTCTTAAAGTATTATTGTTCGTGTAATTACATTTAATAGGACTTCAATTATCACTTAAACACTATTCCATATAGGTAGTTAGTTTGTTTTCTTTTTTTCCAAAGTAATTATCGTTATGTAAATAAAAAAAAAATCTAACGGGCTGAAGCCCCCCACAAAAAAAAAAAATTAAAAACTGGATCCGCTAGTGGTCTATCATCAACTGAAGTAATAATTAAATTCTCTAGTAGTCAGTAATGTACTCTGTACTTGATGGTCTGTAATATTTGTCTATTTTTGGAAAGCTAGGGACAACACTGTAAGCCAATAACCAGTTGGGTCGATAGAATAAACAAATTTCTCGCAGAAAACTGGAAGACTAGTCCAAGATAAGCTGGTTTAGGAGGCCCAAATCGACCCAAGTTCAGTAAAACCAACCGAAAAAAATACATACATATGTATATATATATATATATATATATATATATATATATATATATATATATATATATATATATATAAACATTTATTTATATATATACACATTTATTTATATATATATACACATTTATTTATATATATACACCTTGTTTTGATTTATTCAAATTATTATGTAAATCGCTTATGTACTGATTTGAGTACTTTCGCGTAATATGTAATGGTGTAATATAAGTTAATCTTCTTGGATGACTTAAGGACACGCTAATATAGGAGTTGATATTGCATCCTTTGACTCCAATTAATGGGAATTCCGGGAAAGGGTCTAATATTCGCATTCCTTTGGTTGCATCATTAATATCCCCCCAAATATTAGACGATAACTCAAACAATATTAATCTAGACCGTCTACCACTGTCCCTCTCTTGGACCTAGATTGATAAAGAGGGGCTAGGTTACGTTTGTATAGGCTGGATGATTTATAGATTAAATTTGTCTTGTAGATTACGTTGATAAAAATGCGAAAAATATGCTTTAATTTTTTTTTTTATGATTGGTTACCGTGCATATTATTTTTATACATTTCAATTAACGTATATTTATTTTAGGATATTTTCTGTGCTATTCGGTAGGCTCAATTCAAATAACCAAGACATAATTAAGATCCGCAGTACATTTGACTTAAAAAATCTGCTTGTGATAGACTCCTAATAATGGTTCGACCATTTATTTGTCATATTTTCTTTAATCATCAAAAACTAAGCTGTAAAGTAGTTAATGTCTGTAACATGAGGTTGGTTAACGGAGGTTTAAGAAATTCTTCTTGCAAGAAAATATGTTGACATTGCTTAGATTCACCATTCTTTAAATTAAAACGTCCTCATTTATACAATCACGCTAATACCATCTTAAATAATATATATTATTTTTCTGGGATTCTTAGGATCTTGAGGTTCAGTTTTGTTTTGGACCGTTTTTTTCTCCAAAATATAGATGTCCATTTATTGTCTCAACATAAAGATCCCTAGAAAAAGAATATTATTTAACAGTAAAGAAAATTGAAATCATTATATAAATATATGGGTGATGCAACTACCAATGTTTTCCTTTTTAAATTCTGTATCAATTTAATGAATGATACTACATATCGTCTGTTAATTGAAAAAAAAAAATGCCGCTAAGTATATTATTAATGAAGGCATACTTTCCAATACATTTTTGTGAATTTCAACCTTCTTATCGTTGAAAAAATGCAGAAAGTGCACCAAAAATACATCCATTTTTTTCCTACAGTCAAAAACCTAGAAGTAAACTTTGACCAGAAACTTTCCTGGAATAACCATATCTCCCAGGTTACCTGGAAAACCATAACTGTTCTTAAACAACTTCTAAGATTCCGTGATTGTATTCCTCTAAACACCAGACAGCTCCTTGTTGTAACCTCCCTTATATTCCCCCATTTCGACTACAGCTGTTTGGTGTATGGAGAGCTATCTTCCAGGCTAGAAATGAGACTGAAGAAACTCATGAACTGTTTCATGAGATGCATCTTCGGGATCCTCAGGTACTCACATGTTTCATTCTGGTTCACCGAGTTGAAGTGGCTTTATCCTACTTCCCGACGACAATTTTTCCTTGTTGTTTTCCTTTTCCAAGTCCTCAGCACCAAAAACCCTGCCTACATCCGTGAACTACGTTTCGCTATCTACTCTCTTAACACCAAGTCTCAACCTATAGATTGTTATATCCTCTCCCATAAAACTATTTCCTTCAGAAAATCCTTCGTCATTCGTGCTACCTCCTTTTGGAACTCTCTTCCTAACTCCATATGTCAATCATCGTCCACAAATTTCTTCAAACAACACCTGTTCCACCACCTATTCCACATTCAAACTTCTGCTAACATGTAAAATTACTTGCATCTCTGTATACTGTTTAATTTCAATCTACTGAACAATTGTAATAACAATCAGCAGTTAATTAGTTTGTATTTTTTATTACTTTATTATTTTAAGACTAAGACTAAGACCCATAAATTTGTAACTCTGTTATTATTCTTTGAGGACTGTAGTCCCAGAATAAAATTATTTTTTCAATCAATAAAAATCCTTCTAGATATAAAAAATAGCTATACTTAATGCATACATGTTCTGATTTCGAGAAAAAATCAATCAAAATACTATTTATATTTTTATTTTGTTTTAACTTTTACAAATATATAACTAAACTCGCTTATCCTGAAATATGAAACTCATTTAACATTCTTAACTATTTTAAATTTTACAAAAAAAGAGTTATTATTTATTTCTGTAATTTTTCTCTATTTCATTTTTAAAAGTTAAATTTTTATGTTCTCTTACCGTCGTGAAAAATTTCGAATCCTAGTTTTCCCAGCCTAGCTAAAAAGTCGTACGAAACTGAAATTTCGTATTGCGAGTAGGTGTATGTCTGAAATGTAGCCAAAATCGACCAACCAGAAGAGGTTTCTTATATAACCAAATTCAGGTAATTATTTAGGAACGGTCCTCCACTCGCCATCTTGGTTGAACTGGTATTATGTCCCGTGTTCTGATAACGTTTACGATATCTAGCACCAGAAAGCGCCACTATTGCGGAGGGGTTGTCTTGTCCCCTCCACCTTACGTTCATTACAAATAATTACCAATTGTAACCTTTACAATATATAGTGCCCACCATTTTTTTTTAACTTGTCGATTTCTTTGTATCTTCAATATATCGATTAACCAAACTTTATATTTCAGATGTTATTATTTACACATATTACCTACATCAATTTTTTTTACCATTATATATTACTAATATTATTTATAATTGTAGTGTTTATATATTGCCCGTTTTTGTTTTTTTAGCTTCGAGATTCAGCATTATTAATGCTTTTCGCTTTCCTTATCGTAAATGAAAGAAGTTTATTAACTTAAGTTTTGTTTTAATTGTGACACTTTATCTCTAATTGTACATTATCTAAGTATGTCCAATATTAATACAATTCAGGAAGAATTAAACAATTTTCTATAAGGGTTTTGATGCTGGATAAGGGTTATACTTATCAATTATATGTTACTTAAATCTTCTAGTAAGAAGAATTAAACAATTTTCTATAATGCTTTTGATGCTGGATAAGGGTTATATTTTTCAATTATATGTTACTTAAATCTTCTAGCAATAAAACACATTTTCAGTCTACTCAGGTACATACTGGCAATACCAGATGACCAGTTATCCCTAGCCATTTCCATTGCTGTCTACTTACATTATCTATATCTACTTTTATATTGTATTGTCTCATTAATTTTTCTGAATCCTGTCAGAATGATTTATTACTTTTCCTTGGTCAATTTGATCATTACTGGTGGTAATTTATCCTTATTTGGACAATAAGTCATTCTCGATAATTAAATTATTTACAGTCTTGAAATACATATAGCGAAACCTTAGGAAGAAATTAATAAACTCATTAAACAATGTCAGGAAAGTTTGAGGCTGGAAGCCAAAACATGAGATGATGTAAAACCTAAATCTTTCATAGGTCTATACTTCATTTATATAACTAAGGGACATTTTACATTTTATGAAGAAGAAGGTAAAGAGTTAGGTCTGGCGGAATACACATGATAAAGATAACTTACACTTTCTTGCCTAATATCTCATTCTGACAGGATTCAGAAAAATTAATGAGACAATACAATATAAAAGTTAATAAGATGTTTGTAATTGGGACCCCAAGACGCTCCTGTGTCTCCCACCACTACACTGAGTTAGGGTGGCTCTTCCCCTCCTTAAGAAGACAATATTTCCTCCTAAACACTTTTCTTTATGAAATCATTACCGGTCCTTCTTACGCCTACAACCTTCTCCAATTTAAGTCCTCAATCCATTCCCTCACTACAAGATCTCTACCCTCTGACCTATACATCCCTTCTCATAGATCTGCCTCATTCCAAAATTCCTTTATAGCCCACTCTGTCAACTTTTGGAATTCCCTCCTGATCAAAATTCGACATGCCCCTCCCCTATACACATTCAAAAACCTCATATTCCAATTCCTGTTCCAAAAACAGTCAGATACCAGCTAACTATTAATACTATATATGTATTGTGTAGCAATCATATAATCATAATACTTGATAAGAGATAGTTCATGCATTTCATACTATCGACATAGGAATTTCAATACATACATTTCTTTTATTTATTCAATTATAATTAACTGTTTATTTTTATATGTATATTCAAGTAAAATTTTATTTTTTTATGAAATGAACACATTCTAACTTTATAGTTTTGTTTATAGTTCAAGTGATATGTTCATAGTTTTAATCGTTTTGTTTATAATTTTAAATGCTCTGTACATAGTTTTATCTGTATTGTATATAGCTTGCGCACCTAAGGTTTTCTTTACTTTTTATTTTATTTATTGTTTCAAACGTTTAGGCCAGTAATATTCTATTATTTTGTACATTATTGTTATTCTGAAGGGACTTAGTCCCAGAATAAAGTTTTTTTTCTATATATCTATCTAAAAGTAGATACAGATAATGTAAGTAGACAGCAATGGAAATGGCTAGGGATAACTGGTCAGATAATTTAAATTGGATTGGAGATTAAGACAATTTAGAAATTATAATAACCAAATGTGAATAATTGAGATGCATAGGTAAAAATATATTCAAAAGCATCTGTTATAAATGTTACAGGCTCAAGTTGACATAATTTAGCTAATGTTTGAAAAAGATTACTGCTTAACTAAATACCTCTTGGAGCATTGCGTTTTATATATATATACAGGTTGCTAAGATACTTGTCTATCATACAGATACGATGATTGGCATATTTAATTATGTAGAAAATTTACGGTTCCAAGGGGAATATACAAGGGACCAATCGCTAAGAACTCGTAATGTTGCTGACAAGTTCAGATTTAAAGGAATGTCAGTAGTGTTTTCTTCTTTGATTATTTTAAATTAAATGAATCGCTAGAGCTCTCCTACATGATCCTGAAACATTTCCCTTAAATATGGTAATGCCAGTATGTACCTCAGTAGACTGAAAATGTGTTTTATTGCTAGAAGATTTAAGTAACATATAAATGAAAAACATAACCCTTATCCAGCATTAAAACACTTATAGAAAATTGTAAATTTTTTAGTACATACAATCTAAAATATAGCATGGTCAAGCATAAAGTATTTAAAAATTGAATATATACAATCTAAATATCTAAGATATACAATGATCAACCATCAAATATTTAAAAATTTAAGTTAATGAAGTTGTTTAATGTTTAACAAATTGTTTAAGACAGTATGCTGCACATTAGACTGAAAATGTGACAGAATATATCTAAAAAGTATAAGCATAAATATATTATGTGGATATATAAAAAGTATAAGCATAAAAATATTATGTGGATAAGATGGAAATGGGTGTTCAATCGATGCTTATTTAATGGTGGGTAAGGAATGGTTAATTTAAAAAAAGGCGGGTAATATATCCTAAACGATCTAATTTCTATATTTACTGAAAACAGAGGTAAGGTGGAGGGGACAAGACAACCCCTCCGCAATAGTGGCGCTTTCTGGTGCTAGATTTCGTAAACGTTATCAGAACACGGGACATAATACCAGTTCAACCAAGATGGCGAGTGGAGGACCGTTCGTAAATAATTACCCAAATTCACATTTTTTTAATTTTCTCTAAAATTACTAATGATTTATTTTATTTGTCTAAATAATTAAACATTTTATATAATAATGAAAGATGGTGAAGTATAAACTATGAATGGATTTGATAATTAAATCAAGAGGAAAAACAAGAGTTAGTAAGATAGATCTGGAAATTTACTAAGATCACTCCGAGAGCCACTGAGCAGACACGAATGCGGTCGGAATTTTACGGTTACTTACGAACGTTCTTATTATATGTCATGGGCGAGAAATACGCAGCTCAAGTGTGACTTTTATAAATGATTGTTCTGGTACCAATAAACATTTATATATATTACAGCAATCTAAAAACTAAAATATGGTTGTTAGTCGTTTTGGTATTTTTTGGCACAAAAAATCTAGGTCATCAGCGTCCGATCAATAAAATATTATTATTAAAATATTTAGTATTTAATATAATATATCCTTGTGTTTGTGCTATATTATAGACTCACTCAAAAATTTTATTTTGGCATGGATCCTTTATCGTGCCTAAAAAAATCTGCATTATTCTTGTCGGATTAAAAAAAAAAAAAAATACTTGGTACCTCTAAATAAATATGCTTTACCTTCCATGCGATGGTAATGATAATTGTGAGATGCGCCCCCGCACCAGATTTTAATAATTAAATACACGCATTTATATTTATGGATATATTTAAATATATGCATTGACATATCCAAAATAAAATAAGCTTACAATAAACACGTAATCTAAATATGCAATGACCTTTAGTGATGCTTGGTTTGAAATTTACTTTATCCTTACCTTGGTCATGTATGACTTGGAACCTCTGATCTATGGTTACCCTTTCTTGGCCTGCGGTGAGTACCTTCCACCTGTCTCCCTCCTTCCTCTTCCAGACGACCGTATTCTGTCCTATCGATCGGACGACGCATGTTATCAGGGCATCATCGTCCTCATATATGTGCAGAGGAACAGGTGACTCTCTTGCACTCGGTAGCTCTCCAACTGAAAATAGACAATAATTATTTTATAATAAAAATATAATTTTGAATGTTAAATACATATCTCTAATATATAAATATAATATAAATATCTCTCTATCAAATAAAAAAGTTTTTAGTGTATGTCATATTTTATTTTATTTTAATATTAGGAGCGTAGGAGGTTACAGGAGCCCTCCTATTAGATTTACAATTTGCACTAACTACGCAGCTGTTCATTTAATTACACATGCGTGGAGCTCCTGTTACTCTCAATACAATACAAAATAAAAATTTTAGAATAAAAATTTGTACGGGAAATGGTATTTATTCATCTTGGAGATGGTAGTTTGATTTTACCTAGGTGACAGCAGTTATTTTTCGATCTTGACATTTCCCCTTGACTACAATATATTAATTATTATATTATATAGAATATTATTTTAGTCCGTGGTACAGACCCCTTTTTATCGAATTATTACCATTCGCCTGAAACTTTGTTAATAGTTTCATCTCATCGTAAAATACATAATAAAATAAATATTATTTACGAAAACTCTTTGAATTGGGGCGTTTTCAATCCAGAGGGAGACAAACTTTGTCTATTTAATTAGGTACTAAAAACTCGTAAATACACATTTGCTTTCTACTCGGATCGTAAGATAATTTGATCACAAAATAGATAAAAAAAGGTGGCCTACAAAAATATTGGATCGTTTGTCCTATATAACCTCGTTATTTTGAAAATTTGGGAGTGTAGATAATGCCAAACGCCTCAATATTTTTGAAGGCCACCTTTTTTCTCGATTTTGCGATCAGATTATCTTACGTTCCAAGTAAAAAGAAAATGTGTAGTTACGAGTTTTTAATACCTAATTAAATAGAGAAAGTTTGCCCCCCTCCAGATTGAAAACTCCCCAATTCCAAGAGTTTTCATAAATAAAATACTTGTAGGTTACGATGAGATGAAACTATTTGTGAAGTTTCAGGCGGGTGTTAATAATTTGATAAAAAGGGGGGGTCTGTACTACGGACTATTTATATTATATTGTGATATAATTATAATTATTATTAAATAGATAATAAAGCACAATATAACGAACAATGAAAATGTTAGAAATAAAAGGCTTAAGTTTTTGTTGGGTTTTTATGAAGCTGGACAAGTAGAATATTTATCATGGTTACAAATTGGCAATAAGAATAATTATAATTCATAATAAGGCGCAATACCATAATATAGAATTTTAAAGAAATTAAAAAAATGTCCGTACTGTGGTTTCGTTCCGTTTATATTATGTTGATATAATATAAAGTTATTCAATTTGAGCAACGAGTTTTACAATTGAATAAACAGTTGTATAATGAGTAAAATGGGGGTTGGTTCGCCGTTAGATGGAAAGGGGGTATTCCCCTAGTATCAATAAAAATAATAACATCAAGGTAGTAATTTTAAGTTTCTTGTATAATTTGTCTGGAGAAAATTACTTGTTTTAATGCTTTTATATTCTCATATTTATTTGATGTTAGGTATATGGTACATCATTCTTGTAAGTGAATTTTTATAGCAGTTATTTATGAAGTGAAAAAAAAATATTAAAATTGTACTTTGGAGGCCTATTCGTCCTTATCATTTTTTTAAAATTTAATTTTGAAGCTTTGAATAACCTGAGGCTTCATCATTTTTTTTTTCAGCGGTCACATTGTTTCGTGTGGAGGGAGGGTTAGTGGATGAAAAGATTTTCAAAGAATGGGGATTGGACAGAGGTGAGATATATTCCGGTTTAAATAAAATATATAAATGAAAGTGGAGAGAGCGTTTATGTTGAAATTTCAATTTAGAAGAACAATAGACTTTGTAAAAGGAAAGGTGAATAAAGTTCGGTTGATGAGCTACGTGCGTCATCCAGATTCTGGTTGGGGAAGGGAATTTCCCGTATTTTAATAAACAGGATATATGGTCACTTCCGCAGTATTCCATTCTTTGAGGGACAGAATGGTCAGGAAAATGACCTACTATTGTTTTCTGTGATGTATTCTTCAGGTCAAATATTCAGAGAAAGTTATTTACTCATTTATTGTATGATTGTAATATGTTTCTGAAAAAATAATTAGTTAGTATCACAAATAAAAAAAAAATTATATTACACTAGATATAAACGCGTTGCTGTGTCTCAGTATAGTGAATAGAAAAATAAATAAAAAATAAAGCAGATGTTTCTAACATAGATATTTTCTAGTTCTCTAATATAGATATATTTCTATTTTTTTGTTATTCGATTATTTGTATAAATATAGAAATTCTATGGTTTTCCAAATCTAGATCACGCAACATAGCATTGTCCATGTGAGAAGCTATTTGTCTCTAATTCTCCAAAGAAAAAGTACTAAATGTTTAAAACATTAGATCTCTGCAACATATCCGATTTTAATGATTTTTTTTTTTAAATTGCTGAGAATTGAGGAAGCTTTCAAATAATCATGATTACAATCGAAAGTAAAAATTATGTACTTTTTGAGTTATTTGCAAATTTAGTTTTTAACCCATCGTAACTTTTCTTTCATACCCTTTTCGCGAAAGAAACTTATATACATAAATTAAAAGGAATTCAAGGAGAAAATTTTATCCAAGTTGAATTAAAATCGTTACAGTCGTTAAGGCTCTACGGTCTATTGGAACGGACGTTTTTCGTCCGCCTTTCCGAAACGAAAGACCGGAAGGTAATTAAATGTATATGAAAACACTCCTGAATCCGATACAAAGATTATGTGGATATTTCAAAGCAATTTTGGAGATTAGCGGTTTTGAATAAACGAACATTTACGATTTTATTAATATAGATGAAGGGATAGATAGGTGATGGTTAACCATGGACCGATTCACTTTTTACCTGCTTTTCACTAAATAACTCATAACTCCTCGTGATTTTATCCTAATTCGACGTTTCTTTGTCGTTGGAAAGCTGAGTTATTGCTCTTTAAGACCATATGCAAAACATTTATATTTAAAGTTTTTATTAATATGGATTTACAAAATAAGGAATCACGTTTACTAGGTTGGTTGGAACAAAGTATTCGAAAGCTGTATCTCATACAGTTTTCTTGAATAACTATTTCTGCTTTTCTTACAAAGATTTTCGAGTATTTAACATATTTCGTTTTATAAACAGAAATCATTTTTAAGAAGCCTTATTATCAAGTTAGTTAGAGACGGACGTTTCGCTAATGAACTGATTCAGAGATGGTTCAAAAGTAACTCCAAATTTATTCGTATTTCACTAACGAAATTTAATTATACATTATACAGCCAGACTTATTTACAATTCTAACAAATCAAGTTTACTTTTCGTTGCAATTCCATAAAGTCCTACAGAATTATTGAATTTTTTGTATCAGTACTATTTAGTTGTTGCTTTTTCGTTCATATGATCAATATTAGCGATTATTTACTAAAATAATTTTTTTGTATTATTTATGTTTTAATTCATATCTGTCAATTATGGATAAGCCTTCACTTTTAACAGACTCAGATTCCGCTGTAGATATAGATAACGATTGATTATTCGTACACCTTTCTCCTCATTAATACTTAATAATTGAGTATCAAAATCGGTAAACCTGATTTTTAAAATCCTAACAAATCACATTTACACTTCTTCGAAAACTCATTGCATTCTGGCCCATGTTAATGGGTCACCGATTCCAGCCAACTTTTTCAGTGATACTACATCGAAAAGTATTGAACACATCCCTGGGTTTCTGGGGGTGCGAAAAACGAATGTCAAATTTGTTTCTCCATTGAAATGAATTACTCAAGATATCGGGCTGGTTAAAAAAAAAATATTATATTTGACCGATTGGACGGAAACAAATTGGACTAACCAAGTAGCAATGTGGTGATAAATATTTTTTAAGTAGATATATAGCTGATATTCGTTTTTTGCACTTGAAAGAATCCTGAAATGAAAAATTGTATGCTAATCAAAAAATAAAAATATTTTTTGCCGATGCTCGACCCTTTGAAATTTTTTCGACAACCACAGAAAGTGTGATAACTTTAGGACGACTCCTCGGATTCCACGAAAATTATTATTTCGAGAATCATATAGAGCCCATACGATGGTACCAATCCGACATCCGTAAACAAATTAGTAAGTAAAATAAAAATCCTGAAGATTTTTTTTTACAGGAGATAAATAATCAGGAAGCAGTTATTTATCTCCTGTGATATGTAGTACAGTCGACTAACTTCCTTCATAAGTTTTTCTTAATTTCTAGCTTAAAAAGAAACGAAATCCAAAAGTTATTTATGTGGATTAGAAGAGCAATTATTCAGGTTTCCGATGGTAGTACTAATGTAGGATTGCATTATTACTCATTTAAAACAATAGTAAATATTTTTTTCTTATTTATTCAAAAAAAAAAGAAAAAGAATTCCATTGGTTTTTAAAAACCTAAAAATCTAGGTAATGCAAAGAGAAAAAAAATGGCTGCCAAGTTAGATCTGTATAGTTTTCTCACCATTTCAATTTCATTTGCTATTAAATTAAATTTATATTAAAAGTTTCTTAAAAATTTCTCATGAGATTAAAATCTCTGGAAGAAGCCGTTTTCGGAAATTCAGTAATCACTCAACTTATACGGGCTTGATACGAGTTTTGTTTATCAGCAAATACTAAAATGCGAAAAAGTTCCGCATTTGTAGATTTCATATTTGATAATTCCTAATTAAAAAAAAATTAAAAACAGTGCATACTGAATATGTATTTCGCTACTGTTAGTGCAAATGACGTATGTAAAAATTGAGTGTTTTACATGAGAGCATACAAACTAATTATTTCTTTATGATATATTAGTGTAATTTTATATGTTATTGCCCTCTGCTACTTTTCATAGTAGTAGACTACTTGTACCAATGACAGAATACATAATGTTAAAAATAAAATAAAAATGGAAAACTTTTACATACGACCTTAGAACTAACAGTAGTGCTATATACTTAATAGTTATGTTTTTATTCGTAAAATG